TTACTTTACCCTAGCATGTGGAGCATCAAGCATGTAAGTGGGATTTGCAACTTCGTTGATGGACATGCCCATAGGTTGGGAGTCATGTTATGAAATGCTTTTAATGTATCATATTGGATTATTGCATACTTATGATGTACCACTTTGCATCTTTTTTGATGCATTGCATCACATAATTGTCGATGTCATGTTTGAAGCTTTAGTATGACCATTTTGCATGCTATTTATGTTGTATGTCATATGCTTTTCAATGCACAATGATGCATATTTTTTAACACAACACAACACACTCATGTTTACGTATAATGCTCCGTTTGCATGCTTTGCATTACTTCGCACATATTTATAAACCATTTTACATGCTGCTCGATGTGACCCATCACAAAAAATTTGATAGGTTCTATTGCATTGTGTGGTATGCATCGTTTAGCATACTTTTGATGCTTCATGTCATGTGTTTTTTGAAGCATCATATTGCTAGCTATTCAATACCCTGCATTATAGACTTCATGTTTAAAATGTTCCAACTTGCATGTTTTTTTAAACATCATATTGTATGTTTTTTTATGCCTTGCTTTGCAAAATATTCAGCACACCATCTTGCTCATTTTCATCTATAAAGCTTGCTTGTATTTACACCTTTGGCAATGAAGAGAGATTTTCTCAAATTTATGCAACAACAACAACATCAAGCCTTTATCCCTCTATATGGGGTCGGCTACATTAATCTTTTTTATTCATGGTGTCATGATAGGAGTTAAATTCTCATTTAAATCTAATAAAGAAATGTCATTTCTAATATTTTATAACCAAAACTTTTTAGGTGTACCTCTACCTTTCTTAACATAAGCCAAATCCAATACATCTACTTTCCTAACCGGGTCATCGAAAGGCCTCCGTTTTATGCGACCAAATCATTGAAGACAAGTCTCTCTAATCTTATCTTCCACAGGAGCTACTCCAACTTTTTCATGTATATGCTCATTTTGTATCTTGTGACTAAGAGTAAAGCCACCTATCCACCTGAGCATCGTCCTCATCTCTGCAACACTTAACTTAATATATGCTTCACTTTTAATGACTAACATTTTGCACCACAAAGCATTACAGCTCTCACCGTCATCTTATATAATTTTTCTTTAAGTTTGAGGAGGACTTTTATATCACACAACAAGCCTGATGGATTCCTCCACTTCAACCATCCAACTTGAATTCTACTAATAATATACTTATCTATTTCTCCATCACTCTGAACAATAGACCCAAGATATCTAAAATGTGTACTCTTATTAATAACTTGATCACCCAAAGTCATTATTCCCCAACTAGAACTGTTACTGCTAAAATTACACTCTATATATTTGGTTTTAGATCTACTCAAACGAAAACCTTTAGACTCAAAGGTTGACCTCATTAATTCAAGTTTACCTTCAACTCCCTCTCTTGTCTTATAAACAAGAAGAATATCATCAGCCAAAATCATACACCAGGGTACAACCTCTTATAAATGTCTAGTGAGCACATCCATGACTAAAGCAAAAAGATATGGGCTTAAAGCCGTTCCTTGATGTAATCCAACAGAAATAGAAAAATACTTGGTCAAACCACCTTGTGTTTGAACACAAGTAATAACTCCTGCATACATATCCTTAATGAATTGAATATAAATATTTTTAACCCCTTTCTTTTCTATAACTCTCCATAGCACTTCTCTTAGATTTTTATCATATATTCTTTTTCTAAATCAATAAATATCATATGAAGCTCCTCCTTATTTTCTCTATACTTCTCCATCAAACCTCTCAATAAATGTATAGCTTCCATAGCAGACCAACCAAGCAGGAATCCAAATTGATTTTTAAAAACATTAATATCACATCGTAATCTACGCTCCATAACTCTATCCCATAGTTTTAAAGTATACACATTAACTTAATTCATCTATAATTCGCACAATATAGTGCATCACCCTTATTCTTAAAAATAGGAATCAAAATAATCATTCTCCACTCATCTGACATCTTTTTAGTCTTCAAAAGAATATTAAAAAGTTTAGTATTCCAAGAAATTTCTTCATGTTCTAAGTATTTCCACACCTCTACTGAAATATCATTAGGTCCAACAACTTTCCCACACTTCATTTTCTTTAAAGCCTCTTTAACTTCAGTTTTACTAATATGCTCCCCATTCCATCAAAATGTCATCAATGAGTTATATGTAATGTACTTAAAGGCTCCATCTAATTTTATATTGGCAACTGCAAGGTTTTTATAAGTTGATGTAGACACACAAGTAAGAAAACCAACACAAAGAGAACAATGGATAGAACTTAAACCAAACTTTATTAAAATAAAAGCAAATAACTGAAACTTCAAAATCCAACAAGAAAACACTAAGAGGTTTTAAGGAAATAAAGAAAAATAAAAGATGCTATCCTCAGACAACCGTCAGAGCGGGTTCCTCACATGCATCGAATTGTAGGGTAAATAAGATAAGTGCATAAGACTAGCAAACCGATGGTCCACCACTGCAAGATTGTCCAATTTCTTCAACAAATGCTTCCAAATCAACCAAGACACGACACCCTAAAGTTGCTTCACTTTGAGAAGAAGGATACAGATGGAATGGCACTTGCGGAGAGACGAAAGAGGTTAGAAGCCGAGACGAAAGGTTGGAAAGAGCTCGCAAGATTTCCGGAGGGGATGAGAAAGAAGGCAGACAAAGCTCGCAAGCTTTTCCAATAACCCACAGGTCAATAGCAATTTTGCTCGCAATAATCAACTAATTTTCTTCGCAATATCTTCTCATATTTATAGGCAAGGTAGGGGAATGCCAAAAGCCACAACATTAATTTCCATTAGAACCGAAGCACCATTAGCACAGAAATCCCCCCCAAACTTTTCGGAAATCATTCCAAACCCAAGAACCGAAGCAGCAGCCGCGGGAGACAAGGAGGCAGCACGGAACCAAGGAACCACAGCCACAGGAATCATCCCAGACACGAAAAAAATAGCAGCCATCCGTGTAACCCCATATTAATTCTTATGCATTAACAAGCCAGGGTTTCCCAAGAAGAAAGGGAAAGGGGAAGGGACAAGGCCACTCCAAAAGTAAATCCTTCTTAATGAGATACCTTTAGAGAATTAATGAGCTACTAAACTCCAGCTCAAACAACTAAGAGAACAAGCTCAACACCATATGCTTCAAAACAGCCAACCCGTGAACCATCAGCAGCCAAGGACCAATCGAGCTAGCAAACCAAAGGTCTACCAAGCCTTATGCACAATCTATCATGATCATTGGATACTTTCCCATCATTGGATAGCTAAAAAAAGAAAAGAGCATAAAATAAACTATTGTTCAAATAAAAATAAAAATTACAGAAACATTTGATAGCATCATAAGTGAATGAGTAGGATATAGGGGATAAAAGAACAAGACAAAAGAACAAAAAAAAAAGTTGAGGTAAGGGGGACAGAGCGCTCAAGTGATTTGCTAGAGAAGAAAAAATGTGGATTGAGAAAGGAAGAAGCATGAGAGGGAAAGGATTGGTGGTTTATAAAGAAAAGAGAAAATGATTAAAATGGTCCCTCATCTCTTTGTGAGAAATCAAAATTGCCCCCAACTCTTTTAAGAGACCAATATAGTCCCTCAACTCCTTAAAAAGTGGCAATTTTGGTCATAATATCAAATTTTAGGATTAATAGTATTAAATCAAGGGGTATTTTGATCATTTTTTAATTAAATTATTTATCAAATATAATTATCAAGTAATAGAATTATTTTTAAATATTAAATATTTTTTTCATAAAAAAATTATTAATAATTCTAATATATAACGATCCTAAATTAAAACTAGAATTATTAATAATTTTTAAATTAAAACTAGAATTATTAGTATTTTTTATTAAAAAAGTATTTAATAAATTTTTTAAAAATTATTATTACTTGAAAATTATATTTAATAAATAATTTAATTAAAATAATGAACCTCAAAATTTATTGTGAGATGAAAAAATATCCTTTTTAAGGAGTTAGCTGATCAAATTGGTCCCTCAAAGGAGTTGAGAATCATTTTGATCTTTTTTCTCATATAGAAAAATAGCAAATCTTTTATCTGTAGAAATTTAAGATGTTTTCATCTCTACTGAATATTTAACTTTATCCTCTAAATTCTTTAATAGAAAGCATCCTTCGCAGCTTAAATCTGTAGAATTGTATTGCATGTGAACACAAAAGAAAAGGAGCTATAGAAAACTAGTTCGATGAGATTTTTTCTGTAAGCATTTACCTATAGATAGTAATTTCTTTATAAACTAAGATGTTGTTTCTACTTAAAAGTATATGATATTTAAGGGCAGAGGATAAGATCTACATGATCTGGAATATTGTTTTAATTGAAACGTTTTGCCAAGGTCTCTAGGAGGAACAACTCACTCTCCTCAACACCTTACGCCATATTTTCATAAAAGAGAGGGAAGTAATTAATTATTCCCTGTGAATTATATCTAAATATAGATATTAATGTGTACAACTCACTCTCCTCAACTAACCTAAACTTACTTTGATTTCAATTGCGTTCAATATGGGAAATGGAAACAATTTTTATGAATTCCATCCTAAAAAATATCTTCCACATTGATTCTAATACTAGATCAAGTTTTTATGCCCAACCTACATTGTAGACCCAATTGGAGACCTTTGTAATTGATACAATGCACTATTTGATAAGTACTTGAGATTTATTTCCCTCCTTATAGAAAGCACATGAACGATTGCAAAAAACTCCCAGATAAACATCCAATTTTATTTTGGCAAGCAAAAAGTTTACTGGGACAGAAAATTGCCAGTGTCACAAGTAACATGCCAGTTTGTTCGGTCACTAGTTAGTAGCCACCTCATGCAAACTTTTTCAGAACAGTATTCTTAGCTAGAAGTAGGGGAAACTAAAATCTTTTTGGTTCACATTGGGGCTGTTTAACATGGACAAGAATAACAGATGAAAGAATGTAAAGAATATCTCCTTAATTCAATATCAATTGATGTAAATACTATACAAGGTTTCAGAATGTAAAATGACAGTATAAAAACAGTCAGACCATTAAAATGAGAAATATGTACAGGTCATGTACCCTCAATAACTAGAACAAATACTGAGGCGCCGTTAAAATAGCCAATGCCTCTTCTTTGGCTTGTAATTAACTTTAAGATCTACAAAAGTAAAATTAGAAACAAACTTTAATTATAAATGAATAAAAACTAGATCATGAAGAAGGACATAAAATTGAATAAAGTAATAGCTCCAGATTATGAAATAGCAAATTGATATTTTTTTAAGGTGGAAATAACCTTGGAGTTCATAGAGTGAATTGTAATGTACTTCAGACCAAAAGCTTAGCCATAACTCTGCATCAAGGAGAAATAAAAAGTTACAAAAAATTTATATGAAGTACAAGATAAATTAAAGGTTACATGACAAGAAAATGTTAATTGTTCTTTATTCATTTATGGACTTAATGTGCCATTATGTTTATTATCTCTCTCTCTCTCTTTCCTTATAATTAGATATAAACAACGGGTCTTAGAAAGTCTTTGATTTCTGTAACCTGCATTTTTTTTACTATTTCCATGATTGAAACTCATGAGATTATTTGAGACCCTCCATGGTTGTACATACTTTATGTGATGTGGGTTAATGTTGAACAATGTAAATTATCTATGTTCTTCAATGCAACTGGCAAAAAACCTAAAAAAATGGTATTGAATTATCAAAAGAATTCTATTTCGGTCAAAGTACAGCAGAAAGATTGACACTGAAATAGTTGTACAAGACAAAGAAAAAAGGCAAAAAAAAAAACTAGTAATGATAGGCCTTTTTGAATGCTAGAAGAAGATTCCGACGAATCCTTGTTACAGAATTCTTGCACCGAAAGCAGGGGACAAGCTGAAATTGTGGCAGGAATAGTTTTTTGGAAAACTAGGAAGTGGACTGCAGCCTTCTGGGAGGAAGACCTTGCCGTTCCGATCATTTGGAGAAGTTACAGCAGCCTACAAGTAGGCTGCTGGAAGAGGACAGCAACCTTCTTGCGGCTGGACAGCACCTCTTGACTTCTGGAAGGAGGAAGACAGCAGGAAGGGAATGAAAAAACCCCTGGCCGCTTGCTGGTTGGACAGTTCAGGAGGGCTGGCGGTCATGGACAACAGCAAGAAAGGGCTGTTGATGTGGAGGGGACCTGGTGACTGTGGAGGAAGGATCAGCGGCAGGGCTGGTGGAATCCTGCAGCTGAAGGCTGGATGGGTGGCTGTAGAGGATAAGCTGGAGGAAGAGGTGGCTGCAGCTGTGGGCAGAGAAGGGACGAAAGGAAAGAAAAGAAAAGAAAGAGCTAAAGAAAAAGGAGAGAGGGTGGGGGCCGGTTGGCTATTTGAACCAGTCAAGCCCTTGCTCATGCGTCAAAGATGCTTCATGATTCAAAGAGTTTGAAATTTGGAAAATAAAATATTTTAGTCATTCAATGTCAACGAAGTTTTTCATAAACGTACCAGATATATATAAATGATAGCTTCATGGTTGCAAATCAAACTTAAGATAAAAGGCACTGATTTGGAGGGAGATTATTATAGGAAACACTTGAAGATCTCAAGTATTTCCTATCAATCTTCGGAAAACAGAGAGCTTTCTTATCAAAATCCACACAAAAACAGGAAAACGGTAGAAAATTTGTAATATTTGATGAACTGGAAGCGGAAAATAGCGAGATACAATTGATCCTCTATTCAAGAGGAGGATCGTTCTCTCCCAATCTCTAGACGCCGCTAGAGCCCAAAAGAAATCAAAGATATCTCAAATTTCAGCCAAATTCAAGATGCCCTAACCCTAGGAAAACAAAATATTTAATGCATACAAATCAAAAGGAAATCCCTAAACAGTCCATACATTCAAATTTCCCTCCCAAATCCCTAAAAAATCCTTCCTAAAATGGTCTGGGGATGTTGGCGGTGCGATCGGTCGCGGAAAAGGGGCGGAGGCAGTCCGCCTCGTCGTGCTCGGGCCGGTCCCGCGTGGACCAGTTTAACAGATTATTAAAAATGATTAGGTTAAAGCCAAACCACTAAACACTAATGTTCTATTACTAATCAGTTAATATTCATTTGTATAATTTTTACGCATTATTGCTCAAACTTTTGTATCCCCATGTTTTTAGTGAATAGATTTTGAGCATAAATGACCTTCAAGTATTTCTATTTGATTTTAAACACCCAACTCAATGCCTTATTAGGTGTGCTTATTACATACATAATTTTGGATTGAAAATCTTTGCTAGATATAAATCTATTTGCTTTAGCATCAAGCAACCTACAAGATCCTCTCTCCTTAAAATATAAAAGATTATTGTTATTTTGGAGTAAAAGGGGAGAAATTTTGAAGCTAAGCATCTTCCTTAATCTTGAACATACAATAATATGAGTTCACCAATCTTCATCATGGCTCCCCACTATATCTCTAAGAAGTCATCTTCAATATCTACAACTTCATTTTAGTATATCAACTCTAACATTTTTAGTTCTCGTATTTCGCTATAGATTAACTAAGATTTCTCTTAACATGGATTCAAAAGTTTTGTTATGTTGAGAGATTTAGGGGCTGTTTGATTGTCTAAAAAAGAAATGCAGTGTAAAAAAAATGTAGTGTAAAAAGAATACAGTGTAAAAGGAATAATTTGGAGTTGTTTGAATGAGTGTAAAAGGAATACGTGACTTTAATTTTTTTTGTTTGATTTGAAGTAAAGTGAATGCAATGTAAAATATAAAATAGTTGTGCCCAAGGTGGCCAGCAGCTAACGTTGGAGGATGGCAGGTGGCGGACGACAATGGTTTGTGGCGGGCAGCGGCGGTAGGCGGTGGTCAACGACGGTGGCCGGCGTCATGTAGCGGATGGTGGCGGTGGAGACGGTGGCTGTCGTTGGTGGTCAAACAAGATTTGGAGAAGTGTAAACTGTTCTCCCTCAAAACTGGGCGAGAACGATTTACCTCAAAAATGATCTAGAATAGAATACACTGCATTTACTTTACTTTCCCTTAAACTTGGATTTGCTATTCATCCAACCAAACACTCCATAACCCATGCATTTTTACTCTACTTTACACCCTAAAGTATTCCAACCAAACAGCCTCTTAGGTGATTTTGAGTTTATGTAAGTATGATCTCCAGCATCCCTTTCATGATGATACACTTTCAAGGTTTCTTTGTTGGTACATCTCTAGCCTCTTTCCCACTGATTAGTTCTAAATAAAAATAAAGCCAAATAACATAAATTATTGTATTTTTTTCCTTTATATGTTTGCCCTAAGAGACTTAGTGTTTCTTTGTGCTTATATAATTAATACATAATGGGAATCAGATTGTTAGCGAAATCATATTATATGCAATCAACTAGGAGCATGTGTCATTCTTAAATAAGAAAGGCCGCTCATCAAGGCAGCTGTAATATACCATGCAGAGTTGGTAGGCATCACACTTTTCTCATGGTGAAAATCTATGGTTGTTAACCTATTTTCTAGTGCGAGAAGTAAAACGCAAAGGAATCCTTTAAATACATAATAATATTTGGAAATGATCAAAATCACGTTTTTAAATTTGAAAACTGCAACTAAATGCAATAATATGACATCAAGCATTACCTCTTTGGGGAGTCTGGTTGTGTGGAACAATTTCAACAAAACATGTATCCCTGAATGATGTAAGCAAACAGATTTTCGCCCCAAACTGCAAAGAAAAGACAATCAAATAGTATTCCTATTGTTCACCAATAAATAAAATGTAACATCATAAAATAATTTACCATCAAGATTATCCGAAAACCAAGAATTAAGAGCAAAGTAAAAAAATACAATGGAAAAAAGGAGCTTATGCTGATTGCCTAACCAAACCAACTAGCAAACAGTCAAAAAAGTGACAATTTCTTTGGTAGAGAAGGGATCATAAACTAGAAAAAAAAACACAAAAAAAAAACGAAGAAGAAAAAAATACTTCAAAGTGAAAAGCTTGCTTGGTCAATATTTGGGTGGCATGAATTTATAGGACATTTAGAATCCTCCAATCCCACCCTTAAAATGTGTTCTGAGGGTGGAATATTCCAAATTAAGTCCAGCATATTAGTGGATGGATATCTATCCACTCAAAAGCTCCAGTAAATGGTTAAGTGTGAATACTAGTTTGTTAAGCACACATCCCTCACTGCTACTTTTTTAAGAACTCATCTATTACTTCACTTTTGATTACGAGACTTTTCCACTTCCATCTACCACAATATGATAGGTCGGTTCTCCAGCCGGCCCCACCTGGGCCGGCCATTGTTTACAGGAGGTGGTTCAAACCGCCTCCTCTGTAGCCGTCTTAGCATAAGGGGCCCACGACCCTATTTAATTTAATGAAAAATTATATTTTAGGCAAGGAGGGAGGCGGCAAAAGCTTTGGAGAGAAATAATTTGAAATTAGAAAATTGGTGGGTTATAAATAGGCATGAGGGGGGAGGTTCAGGGCATGCTTAAGTATTGTATTCTCTTGGGGTCTCTTGGGAGTTTTGGGCTCTAGACCTAGTGTCTAGAGATTGGGAGAGAACGATCCTCCTCTTGAATAGAGGATCACTTGTATCTTGTTTTCGTATTTGTTTGGCTTTGATTTCCTCGTTGCAATACAACGTTTTGGAAATCTGATTTTTGGTCAGATTTTGCGTTATTCTCGCTGTTTTCACCAATTAGTGATTGGTATTAGAGCGTTGTCTTGGGACCATCGGCGGCTGAAATCCAGAAATTTCAGCAAAGAAATTTCATCCCCAAGAAGATCTTCTAGTAAATCTTAGGAAGAAAGATGGCTGGGAAGAAGGTCGAAGTTTTGGCAGGTAAAATTGGGCAACTAAAATCAGATTTGAAGGAAAAATTCTCTGATTTTCAAAATCAGATTTCCTCCATCAACGAACGGTTGGAAGGAAAGTTCACCTTGATGGAAGAGATGTTGAAGAAATTATTAGAGGTGAAGACAAATCCGATAACATCGGAAAAGCAAGGGAGACCACCGGCGGCCGTGGGAGCGGAGGGAATCCAAATCTGTTTAGGGGGAGGGAAAATCCGGAAGTGGAGATCCTTGAGGGAGTAGACGACATGCCACCTCTAGAACCACTTTCTAGGGAGGAGATGAGTATGTGTTACAAAAAGAGGGGTGCTGATTTTGTGGGGAAAAGAGGAGATTTCTACCATCGAGGTGCTAATTTTGAAAGAAGAATATGGGTTGGGGGCAATGCTGATGCAGAATAGAATACCCATAGCTTACTTCAGTCATATGTTGTCAATTAAAGCTAGATTGAAGTCTATATATGAACGAGAATTGATGACCATCGTGCTGGCTATTTAAAATTGGAGACTATACCTGCTGGGACAACACTTTATCATCAGAATAGATCAAAGGAGCTTAAAATACCTATTGCAGCAGAGGATGGTGGCGAAGGAACATCAGGGTGGCTGTCTAAACTATTGGAATACGATTTCGAGGTCCAGTACCGACCAGGGTTGGAGAATAAGGCGGCTGATGCCTTATCCAGGTGTGGGGAGAGCTTCAGGAGATGACCATTTCAATTCCCCTGATGGTAGATTGGGGGACTATCCATGAAGAAAGTGTGCAAGATGAAGAGTTGAAGAAGATCCGGATGGATCTACTGAAGGATAGGAGCAGCCACCTAGGCTACCCCCGACGGGGAGAGGCAGTTGTACCATGGAAGGTTTGTGATGCCACGAACCTCCGTCCATATTCCCCAGCTATTGCAGGAGTTCCATGGGAGTGCCATGGAAGGCCATTCCAGAGTGAAAAAAGACATACAGGAGACTTGCTGTTGAATTGTACTGGAAATAAATGCATAAGAATGTGCAGGAGATGGTGGCGAGGTGTGAAGTGTGTCAGAGAAACAAGTATATGGTTATGGCTCCTGGTGGGTTACTAAAACCCTTATCACTTCCAAATAGAGTATGAGAGAAAGTGTCTATGGATTTTATAGATGGTCTACCACGATCAGAGGGGTTCATGGTTATTATGGTGGTGGTTGATAGGCTAAGTAAGTATGCACATTCCATTTCCTTGCGACACCCCTACACCGCAATGATAGTGGCACAACTTTCATCAGGGAGGTTGTTAGACTACATGGGATTTCAGAGTCGATAGTATCGGATCGAGACAAAGTGTTCCTCAACCAGTTTTGGAGTAAGCTGTTCAGGTTATAGGGCACTGTCCTTAAGAGAAGCACCGCCTACCATCCCCAAACGAAGGTAGTAAACCTGAGTTTGGAAACTAGAGGTGTTTTGCTTCAGAAACACCAAAGATGTGGGCCAAATGGTTGGCATAGGCTAAATATTAGTACAATATATTGTACCCCACTGCTTCTCAGATAACACCTTTTAAGGTGCTATATGAAAGAGATACGCCACACTTAGTACACTTTGGAAGAGGGAGCACACCAATATCTTCGATGGAGTAGCACTTGGAGGAAAGGGATAGAATGTTGGAGGAGTTGAAGAAACATTTAATGAGGGCACAACAAATCATGAAGAGACATGCGGATGCACATAGAAGAGACATCCAGTTTGAAGTGGGTGAGAATGTTTTCTTAAAAATGCGGCCCTACAGACAGAAGACCTTGGCCAACAGGAGAAATGAGAAGTTATCCTCAAAGTATTTTGGCCTCTATGAAATACTAGAAAAAATTGGAGCAATGACATAGCGCTTGAAGTTACCCCCAACCGCCACTATACATCATATATTCCATGTGTCACAGCTAAGGAAGGCTATAGGGGAACATGCAACCAGTGCAGAAATGCCGACAACATTGACTAAGGAGATGGAGGTGATCTTAGAACCACTGGAGCTAAAAAGGGTAAGATATGACAAGGAAGGAAACAAGGAAGTGTTAATCAAGTGGAATGATCTTAATGAAGCGACATGGGAGCTGTATGAGCAGGTGAAACATCAGTTTCCTTCCTTCCACCTTGAGGACAAGGTGGTTCTTTGGGAGGGCGGTATTGATAGGCCGGTTCCCCAGCCAGCCCCACCTGGGCCGACCATTGTTTACAGGAGGCGGTTCTGTAGCCGCCTCAGCAGAAGGGGCCCACAACCCTATTTAATTTAATGAAAAATTATATTTTAGGAAAGGGGGTAGGCGGCAAAAGCTTTGGAAAGAAATAATTTAAAATTAGAAAATTGGTGGGTTATAAATAGGCATGAGGGGTGGAGGTTTAGGTCATGCTTAAGTATGTATTCTCTTGGCATCTCTTGGGAGTTTTGGGCTCTAGACCTAGTGTCTAGAGATTGGGAGAGAACGATCCTCCCTCTCGAATAGAGGATCACTTGTATCTTGCTTTCGGGTTTGTTTGGCTTTGATTTCCTTGTTGAAATACAATGTTTTGGAAATCTGATTTCTGCCCAGATTTAGCGTTATTCTCTCTGTTTTCACCAATTAGTGATAGGTTTGCTTGCGAACTCATGTATTTCCCTTAGGATTACTTGTGAACTCAAGTATTTCCTATCACAATAATCTTCCATTCACATCAAAATCATCCATATTAAGCATCACCCCCATCAAATATAAATTTTTCAGCATCATTAAATATTATGCACCAAGAGCTCACTCAATCATGTATATCATAAAAAGGAGTAAATTGTTCTTATAGATTTATCATAGTAGAAGAAACCAAGACCCAAGAGCCGTATAAACTATAAGAACCATTTGATCGTAATTGGTCAATAAGCTTTAAAGCCCCTCTATAAGAGGGTGTAACACATGATTGATTTTTGTCTAATAAAATGGCAGTTGGACACCAAGTCACCAACCAACCCAAAAGCACAAGTTGATGAATAAGGATCATCACAAATAAAGTAAAAGCAGTAGAATAAATTATAGGACATGCAGCCTAATAAACTAAATGTACATGGAGGGAATACAAACACCTAAAAGAATAAATATTAGATAGATTTATAAGACCAACTAAATAATTCTAAAAGGATTTAAAAGAAACCCCAATCATATTACAACGAATAAGATTACATGACATGAAATATACGCCTAAAAATGATTTTTAATCCAATGGTTCTCAATTATGATACTAATAAAGTACTAGCTTATAAATTTCCAAGTGCTAACTCATGAAATCACATCTTTGATAGGTTTAATGCTCTTCCTCAAATTGAAGAAAAACTCCAAGAATATAATGAGCCCATTACAAATATAGTGTTAATAAGATTTCAATTCTCAATTTTACATTTATACTCCATAAGGCTCAATCCTAATTGATAGATTTTTTTTTTTACAGGCACTCAATCCGCCTCGTTCCTAATTGAGATTAGGGATTTAAATTAATGGTCGGGTTCTCAATTCTAGAGATGCCATCACCAGAAAAGTCGGCCAACAAAGTACATTGATTCACTCGGTGAATCATCGGGCATCACTTGCTTCGTCTCTAAGCTAAGTGAGAGGTTCTTTCCATTCTTCGAAGTGCTTAAAAATGCCAAGAAGTTTACCATGAGTTAGGATTGCAAACCACAATCACATTATAGGGAATAAGATTATAAGCAATGAAAAAGAAAATGACCAAAATTGTCCCTTAACTCCTTAGGAGGGACCAAATTTGTCCCTTATTATTTTAAGGGACTATTTTGGTCCCTAGACTCCTTAAAATGGTATCATTTTGATCTCAATGTTAAAAATTAACGAACAAAATAAGAATAACTCAAAAGGCTGAAAGATATAATCAGAATAACAAAAAAGTTGGTGAAATAAAATATTAATAACTACGAACCAAGAAAGCTTGCGTCGAAACCCCAATAATGAAACCCCTTCTCCGAACCCTCCAATATCTTCAACCCTTAGCTTCAAACACCGCCTTCCAACCTTTACTTATAGCTTCGACCCCCAGCATCGATCCCGCAGAGTAGCATAATTGAATCTGACATCGATCATACAGTCAATCCCGAGCGTTGATCCCGCAGTCAATCCTGAGCATTGATATAGTAGAGCAGTTGAACCCGAGAGTCGATCCCGCAGAGCAGTCGTTCTCGAACCCGAGCATTGATCCTACATCACAGTCGAACCCAAGCGTCGATCCCGCAGCGTAGTCAAATCCCATCATCGATCTTGCAGCGACATTGAATTCCAATGTACAGTGAGTGCTTATGCAGAAACTGTTCACCATGTTATTTTGATGCCTCGCTCATTTTGTTAAGTATTACATTTAATTTTGATACTATCTTCCCACCCCAGCTGTGAAGGAGACCTTTGCCATGGATTCACCCCCGTTCGGCTCACCCGCCTTGTCATGTTTTCTGGAGCAAAAAACTCGCACAGTTGAGTATAAGCAAACAGATAATGAGAGGAGTGTGTGTTATATATATATAACTTGATATAGCTGATTTGATTATTTTATTTTCTTCCCATTTGACAAAGGAATTGGAAGTGGTCTAAGAACCACTAGAGCTAAAAGGGGTGAGATCAAATAAAGAGTGGAACAAAGAAGTGCTTATTAAATGGAGGGAACTTCCCGACTTTGATGCTATTTGAGAACCATACGAGAGGGTGAATCATCAATTTCCTTCATTTCACCTTGAGGATAAGGTAAGTCTTTGGGAGGGGAGTAATGTTAGGCCGGCCCAAGGGACGGCTGAACCTCACTGCTACAAACGGTGGGCCAAGCGGCCGGGGTGGGGGCTAGTTTAGTGGGGTCTACTTACTAATTAAGCTTTGTATTGAAGGAAAAATTTGAATTAGGGGATGGTTAGGGATTATGTAATTTTCTTTTTGCTTTAATTACTTTCTTCTTGCTAGGGTTAGGATTATCTTGAATTTGGAGGCCGAATTTGAGATCTAGGATTTTGCTTTTGGGCTCTAGGTTTTGGCTAGAGATTTGGAGAGTTAAATCTTCCTCTCGAATAGAAGATTCTGGTATCGTTTGCTGTTTTTCTTGTTCTTTTGCTGAATTGGAGACTTTATGTTGCTGTTTTCTCTGCTAAGTTCGAATGTCTGCATCGAAATTGCTGAAATTCAGCAATTTCCTGCACTGTGGTGGCTGTTTTCTATCAAAGTACTGCAGTAATCTCAACTGGCTGCGTATAATAACTCAATTAAGCATGTTCATTGCTTTAATGCGTTAAAAGATGGTTAATGCACAGCCACGTCAAAAAGCTTTCATAAACAGGCAACCTGAATAGCAAAAAGAATCTGCGTGATTAAAAAAAAAAAGGTAGACAGAATATCAACAAGGTCAATGAGCAAAATTTATTCATTGCCAGTTGTAAGAAATTTTAGTTTGTCTCTGATTATAACATGACCTAAAGCTAGAATAATAACCTTATCAGCAGCTGCTTGTAAGGTAACATGGTCTCCCCATTCACCAGACCTGCAAAGATATCAATTTATAAAGTGCAAATTTATCATATAGTGAACTTCAACAATAACAACAACATCAAGCCTTTATCCCACTAGGTGGGGTCGGCTACATGAATCCTTTTTTCTCCATTGTGTCCTATTAAAAGTCAAATTCTCAAGAGAAGATTAGAAGAATATCTCACTTCGCCATTTTCTTACGGTATTGTTTGTACTTCATGGGAATATAGCCTTCATATATGGAACGAAACTCCTTCAGCTGGAAAGTCAACAACTTCATAAGACATTATTTAGCTTGTAAAATTAACTAAGAAACAGATAATTTTTCATCTCATGAATGCGGATATATGTAACTTGTGAATATTAAATTTGGCAGTAAATCACTTAAGTACTGAATGAACAAATATGCTTTTCAGAATTAGTCCAGAAAAAGGGACCATGATTTGTTGCAAAATAATTCAGAAATGATAGTTGATGTGCTTGGAAGATAAAAGTAGTCCCATACAGCAGTTGCAGTGGAAGATTTCGTTCTTCAATAGCAACAAACTGTAAAAACTCAATTCGGTAAATATGGCAAACTAGTTAACTCATTTGCTGGGAAAAAGGGGGTTGGCAAAGTAAACATAAATGTTCCCACTACAGGCAATTACAGTGTAAAATTTAAGTTTTAAGTGAATAGAAATACTAGAAACCTGTTTCACGACTTCTTTCCGCACAAGTTTGTGGTATTCTGATGAACCATACAGTTGGTCAGAGATTGCACGAAACTGGAACGTCCCAAAAGGTCAGTAACACCATTGTTTTCGAAAAACTTTAGGGATATTGTTCTTTGAAATATAAGTTATTTATATTTTTGCCAAACTGACCTGACAATTTCCATCACCAGAGACCTTCACTTCAAATAAACCGTAAGCAGTTAACCTGCAGTAGAATTTAAAACAAAGAAATCAGCATGGAACAATGGACTAGTGGAAAACTTGAAGAGCGATTTTCATCAAGTTAGAAATCAAGACTTAGCAAAACGGCTTCAGCTGTTGGAAAAGTCAAGCATCTTCAAGATTTTAAGGGTCAAAAAAGATCATTTTAACTTTCTGAATCACGTAAGTGAAAGGAAATAATACACTCAATGTAGCGGATTGGAAATTTGATGTTTTCACAATAACATATAAGCTTCAAAATAAACCAGCACGAAAATGTGAAAAACAGAAGTGTCACCTACATCATTGTCACTATCATTATCACTCGTACTAAAACAGATGGGAGAATCAAGAAGATCACAGATATGTTGCGCAAACTCTATGGTAAGTCCCATACAGCATGAAACTGCGTGCATTCGTGAGCCAATTGGAAAAGTTTTTTTTGGCAAAAAATATCTATTAATTATTTTTTAAAAAATTTCATATAACAATCTTTTATTTTTTTAAGATTTTATCGGTACTTTTAATTTAATTTTTTAACTTCCCATAAATATTTTTATTTTTGAAATTGATGATAAAATAAATTAATCTGTTGATGGTTAATGACATAATTATGAATTATTTTTAATGTTTTTTTTCAATTTAAGGCATATGCATCAATTTGCCTCAAAGCTTGTATCTCACCTCAAAATGCTTCAAATCAAGATTTTGCCTTTTTAAACATTGCACCCAACCAGTCAAGTCAACTTAATGCCACATAATGTTAACATTAAAACTATCTGCATGTGTGCACTCCATACTAGCAATCTGTTCTCTCAAGAAAGATGGTGCTCCACATGAACCCTGCTTTTTAGGCTTACAGCTCCATTTAGGAGTTGCATGTATGTTTGATTTAGGTCGGGGCTTACTACTCCACTTAAGATTTGCCCATATGTTTAATTTAGAACATGACTTACTACTTCCCTTAGAAGTAACCTGCCGTTTAAGTATAGGGGCTTTAATACTTCTCTTGGAAGTTTCCTAGATAATAGGTCTTATGGCTTCCATTGAAAGTAGCCTATGAATTACTTGGATAAATCTTACAACTTCCCTTAGAAGTTACATGTATATTTGTTTGGATAGGTCTTACGATTTGCCTTAGAAGTTGCTTATTAATTTTGGTTGGGGGTCTAACACTTCTATTAGAAGTTCTTCAAAGAGCATGTCTTACGACTTCCATTGGAAGCTGCCTAAGATTTGCTTAGATAGGTCTTATGACTTCCCTTAGAAGTTGCATGTGGATTTGATTTAGGGTAGGACTTACTGTATTTATTGAAAGTTGCCTGTAGATTTTAGAGTTTAGGGTAGGTCTTACAACTTCCAATGGAAGTGGCCTGTAGATTCTAGTTTTGGATAGATCGGATAGCAATACTTTGTACTTCAGTACATTTCTAGCTTTCGTTGGTACTATTGTTTCATTTAAACTCTTGTTTTAGTTTTGGTACTTTGTTTTTAACACTGTAGTCTTTGTCAGTACTTGCCTTTCGTTGGTACTATTGTTTCATTTACAGTCTTGCAATGACCCTTTGTTTATTTGTTTGCAGGTGTTCGGAGCACGCATTGCTAAGAGCTCGAATGGGTTTTAATTTGTTGAGTTTGTTTAGAGTTTTGTAGAGTTTTTGTTTGAGAGTTGCAGCTTGCTTGGGGCAAACAATGATTTGATTTGTTTTATTTTATTATTTTGAATTGATTGTATTAATTAATTAGTTAATTAATTAAGTAAAGTTTTAATTTTATTTTAAATTAATTAATTAGTTCATTAATTAAATAAAGTTTTGAATTAATTTTTTAATTAATAAATCAATAAGTTAATTAATTGAAGTTTTAATTTTATTTTTAAATTAATTAATTGGTTAATTAGTTAATTGAAATTTTAATTTTTATTTTAAATTAATTAGTTAATTGGATAATTAATGAATTAAAATTTTAATTTTATTTTAAATTGATTAATTAATTAGAATTAATTAACTGAAATTTTAATTTTCTTTTAAATTGATTAATTAATTGATGAATTAATGAACAGAGATTTTAATTGATTATTTTTATTTTAAATTAATTAATTAGTTAATTAATGAATTAAATGAAGTTTCAGTATGTTTAAATTGATTAATTAATGAAATGAAGCTCTCAAATTGTTTTCTAAAATTTTAAGAAAATTCAATAGCCTCCTGGCCTTCCCTCCCCGCGATGAGAGGTTGGGAGGGACTTGCCCTTTCAAATCCACCCGACCGAATAGGATTTGACGGCCAAGGGCTTCAGGACAATCATGGGTCCCAATATATGTTTCTTAATCATCGTGTGTGGCATCTGTTGAGGAAATTAATAATTTTAAATTTCTTCAGAATTCAGTAGCCTCCCAATCTCCCCTCTCCGCAAAAGGAGATAGGGAGGGCATTTTCTCTTTCAAACCCACCCGACCGGATAGGATTCGATGGCTGAGGGCTTTGGTATGTTGATTGGTACCAATATAGATCTTCTAATCTTCCAACGAGGCACTTGTTGCATTTTAATATTTTTTTTAAAAAAAAAACTTTATAATTATTTTTCTTGGAAATTTTGGCAGCCTCCTGATGTCCCCTCCTCGCGAGGAGAGGTCGGGAGGGCACTTGCCCTTTCAAACCCACCTGGCCGAATAGGATTTGATGGCAGAGGGCTTCAGGTAGGGGTGTAAACGAGTCCAATTTTGGCACTATTGAACTTGGATGGTCAACCGAAAAGCGAGCTCGAACTTAAGCTCGTCCTACTATAAACTAGCTCGAGCTACCTCGCAAGCCGCTCGATTTCGTGCCAGATTTCACATTTGTCCCATTTTTCCCACCCAATATCTTATTTTGCCACCTGTGTTTGTCCCGTAATTCGAAATCAGAACAGCTTGCATTAATGAAAATATCATAAATAACTTGCGAAAAGTAGAAACAATAGGTTTTTTTTAATGAAAACATGAACCGACAACCTTTTTTTTTTAAACAACTAGTAGCTTTTTATTCTTACTTTTTGAAAACTTCTCTCCTATATTAATGAAGAGATACCAAGCCTGTCATATCATTAATGAACTGCCGAAACAGGTATATTTTTTATTCTTCATTTTTGAGAACCTGACATATAGGTTGTCATATCATTAACGAAGAGCATAAACTGTTTATTTTTTTAATATAAAAATATGTTTCCTGATTAATTTAATTAAAATAATTTTATTAATTAAATAATTTCAAGCTGGCTCACGAGCCGAGCCTCAACCAACTTGAGCTAGTGGCTCGATAAGCTCGACTTGCGAGCTCGTTATCGAGTTGAGCAAGCTAGCTCACAAGCCGACTCAACTCACTTACACCCCTAGCTTCAAGACTGTTAGATATGTATCCAATTTAGATATCACACAAATGATTTTAAGGAAAAAATAAGTTTCCAACCAATGTTCATTATTGTCATCATAATTAACCATAGCTTAACTAACAGAGGTCTGCTTTATAAATCCTCATTTCTTTAATTCTTTTTAAATATTGTATGAGGTGTTAACTTCATTAAGATCAAATTCTTTGCCACTTAAAATCATGTTATATTTGTTTTAATACTCTTCCTTCCTAATTGACCTACGTATAATATGTCCATGTATCTTTATTGGTATACATTTTCCATAAGAAAATAATTAACCTATATAATCACATGTAAATAAAGTTTAATCAGACACATTTTCAAGGGAAATATAACCTATTCAGCAAGTACCGCAAAATAAAGCTAATAATTTATTTTCCAGGATTCGAACCCCAGGCCTAAGGGATAATAGAACTGGGCAATGACCTTAAAGATGCATATTGAAGTAAATAATTGGCAAGCATGTCTAAACACTAAAATGTTCAGCAGAAGAAAAGGAAATTTAAATTCGATGATGAAACATAGCAGAAAAAACAGCATGGATACACTTCAATATTTCAACAGATATGTGGACAAGAGATACCTCTGTAGAAGCCTCTGGTGATCTAGACTGGCCTCACTAAGATTTGGAATAAATGTATTGGTCCGTGGTACATGCTGTAAAATTAAAATTCACATACATGAAAAAACTCGTTATCTTTGCATTATATTGTAAAGAAGAGGAATATTCATACAAGAGAAATTAAGATGAACAGAGAAGAAAAAGTATAGTTAATAAGTTGTCAAATGGTTAATCATTTCCTTCAAACTCCGAAAAAAAACTGCTCGTTGAAAACAAAGATAACTAAGCAGAAAGGGGGCAGTTAAAGTGGGTAAAAGTTTTCTCAACATTCAACATCTCAAAGTTAAAGCATAACTTACAATCTAAAAATGACATGCATCATGAGATTCTATATGTCAACAAGATATTCTGGTTCTCTTCAAGCACTCAAACAGAAATCACTTATTACTCTTTATAAAATGGAGCACTGGAGGAAGAACATGAAAGCCAACAAAAAGGAGAGATGGGAAAGGAAATTTAATTTCAGCGGTTTGCTACAGTGCCTCATATTGCTGGGTAATGAGAAATCCATTTTTCTTGATCGATTTCAACAGTGTTCATAAAAGCCATCTGAGTAATAAAGTTTTGGTTTTCTTGATTTGCCAGAAAATCATGAGCTAAAGATACATTAAACAATATGACAAAGAGAAATAGCAAAGTAGAAGTGCCAACCAGGCGACGGCCTTGCCTCTCAGTAGTCATCATAATCAAAGCAGCGTGGCAGCACATGGAACCTATGTAACTGGGGTTAAATTTTTGGAAAAGTTGAATCATCATTGGCATCCTGTTGTGGGACAGGCTACTTTGCACCGAACAGTAAATTCTGACCCTTTCTCATAATTTGCTGATATAAAAGTACCATACAATTGAGCACACTTCTAGCGTTTATGATTATAATATGAATTTTGGAAGCCTTCAAAGCCATGGACAATAGCATGAACAAGAAAAAAAAAACTAAGTCTTTGTTTGGGGCGGCTTTCTTAATGCTTCTTAAAACAGTTTTTTAGTATAAAAATTAAAAATTTTGTACTAGAAAGCTGCTTTAAGAAGCAATAAAAAAACTGTCCCAAATGAAGACTAAAGCGGCAAGGTAAAATCAACAGTTTCCTGAAGTTATAAGAATTAGTTTATCTCTAGAATACTTGGGAAAATTATGAAAACAAAATCAAATCATATTACAAACGCTAAGAAAAAAAAATCTCATCCAAAACAACACAATTGAAGAAAAGTAAAAACTATTGCAATTAAATGAAGCTGCAGTCATAGACTCGAAATTTTGAGGGACACTAACAATATGATCAAGAAGCTCACAGGAATGGAAGGGAGACTTGAAAGACGCCGAGCAACAGCATTGTCTAAATTAGCATACTCCTCTGAAAGAACAGCTGCAATCATTCTATCATTGCTCATATCATTTTCATCACTGTTCAGAGAACTGAAACTAGAACTAGAACAGCTGCCTTCTTTCTCGGATACATGTGTCATTTTAAAACAAGGAGATTACGAGCCGCCGGAGCCCCTGAAGGTAAAAAATGAAGTTACAAGAGCAGTTAAAATCTTATTACAACAGTACCAAGAAAATCCAAATTGTTATATAATTATAAAAAATTGGATATTATATAAAAAATTGGATTTGTGGTAAAAATTATGAATAGCAAAGTGGGAAATAGAACTTAATAAAGGTAAAAAGTGAAAAATGGATAAGTGATTTAGCTATGTATAACAGAGAAAAAATATGAATTAATTGATTGATTCATTATGGATGTAATTTAAACTAATTAGAGATTAATACGGGTTTAAATAGGTAATTAATGTTGAATTTTACTCATTGCGGATTAATTAATTATTAGAATCGTTTTGTCCTCATGAAATAATTTGACAAGTTAGGTATAAATTAATCAATAGAATAATTCAATGTAAGTATTTAATAAACTAATTAGCATAATTAATTTTAAAGATTAGATGTTAACTTAAGTTAATTAGGGAATAGCTAGGCTTAGTACTTTTATGCTGATTAGGCCTGAATAATTACTAAAAAAAAAAATCTCTAGCATGCTATGTTAAATTAGCAAGGTATTAATTGGGGTTAAAATGTGTTTAATATGGAAAATTAAGGATTACTTCGAGTTTGATTAGAAGTAAAGATTAAGTAGTACTTGATTTGCCAAAGTAATTAATAATAAGACAAGCTAATTAATATATAAATGGTAACTAAATTAATGCTACAGAAGCCTTATTATTTATTATTGTTATTAATTAATTAGACTAATTAGGAATCAACTAATTAATAGCTCGATTAGCCAAATTAGAAGTGCACTTTCTATGTCCCATGTCATCTTCGTTCACATTATCTCTCTTTCCCTCACTGTACTCCTCTCTATAATCCCTAATGCACTAATCTTTGTGTTGTGTCCTAGAATATTTGTGGCGATAGACAAATATAAAGTTTAATGACTTAGCTTTGTACAAAGATCCAGCACACAATCAGATAAAAGACAAGGTGTATCGTTCATAAGAGACATAAGAGTTTTTTACGTGAAAACCCCTGAAAAGGGGAAAAATCACAGGGCCTGAGCCAGTAATGAATCCACTAGTGTTTGCAGTTGATTACAAATGAAGCCCTTCATTAGGGGAACGGATATGTCTTGATGTAGCAATAATACATTATATGGAGTGCATTACATGGTGGGGATAAGAAAAATTAATATTGACATGTTCGTTTAGTCGGCATGACCATAGTCGGCGAACGATGGAGGTCAGAAAGACCGTAGTCGAGTGACGATGGTTGGAAGGACTGTAGTCGGCGAGCTACGGAGGTCGGAAGGACCGTTATTTGGAGATGGAGGTCGAAAGGACCATAGTCGACAGACGAAGAAGGTTGGAAAGACCGTAGTCGGCATGCGATAATGGTCAAAAAGATCGTTGTTTAACGATAGAGGTCGGAGGGACCGTAGTCGACATACGACAGTGGTTAGAAAAATTGTTGTGTGGTGACGGAGGTCAGAACAATCGTAGTAGGCGAGCGATGGAGGACGGAAGGACCGTAGTCGGGTGACAATGATCGGAAGGATCATATTCGGCAGGTGAAGGAGGTCAGAGGATCATAGTTGGCAGACAACAGTGGTCAGAAAGACTGTTGTCTGGCAACATAGGTCGGAAGGACTGTAGCCGGCAAACAACGGAGATCGAAAAGACCGTAGTCTGACGAAGGAGATCAGAAAGATCATAGTCGGCGGGTGGAAGGGGTAAAAAAGATTGTAGTCTGACGATGGAGGTTAGAAGAACCATAGTCGGCGAGTGACGATGGTTAGAAAGATAGTTATCTGACGACAGAGGTCAGAAGGACCGTAGTCAGCATGTGATGGACGTCAGAATGACCGTTGTCGATGGACGGGTGGAAGTACGGCGTCAGTCGGTGGTAGGACAAAAGTTCGGCGTCAGTTGGTGTCCGGGTAAAAGTCTGGCGTCAGTTAGTGACTGGGCAGAAGTCCAATGTCAATCGGTGGCCGAGTAGAAGTCCGGCTTCAGTCGGTGGCCGAGCATAAATATGGCGTCACTTGGTGTCCAGGTAGAAGCTCGACGATAGACCGGTGATGGTCGGTGGTGTCACACCCCATTTTGACCCCCATACAATCAATATAGAGTGTAACAGAGAAGTAGAATCTGAACAAACCTATCTCTTACTAACACCCCTCCTAAAATATTTCTATCATAAAAAGGTGAGTAGGAAATAGTCTATCCCAATAAATGCACTTGTAGATGTTAAAATGCTCTAAATAAAAAAATATATATGCTTACATAGGTGAAAATTTTGGGTATTATAGGTGGTCCGAACGTAGTCGAGGAGTCTAGTGGCAAGAGAACTCTAGTTTCTCTCTCTTCCTTGTCTTTCTTCTCCTCCTTGCTTTAGTCCCCTTTCAATGAAGAATAAATTGTCTATTTATAGTTTTATGATAATAAAATGGCCAGTAAATAGGAGAAATATCAAGGGTACGTCGGGAGTGGTTTGAATAGACAGTCGATATCGACTCTTTTGATCATTGACCGTTTATTGGGCATTTGAATATCTTAATGATATCATAATTCAGCGATCTTGGGCTTGTTAGATTCGTCTCGTCGAGCCGCTCAATTCGACTATAAGCATGTCATGTTTGGAAACAGTTTGGCCATCCAATTTATGATTTGAACCTTCCAAATATGCTTTGGGTATTTGATTTAGACCCATTTGGGCTCGGATTGAGCCGAATTTGGTGTTGTGTGTTCATCTTTTCGAGACATTCAGTTCGACAATAAGTTTGCTGCAAATCGGAGTTCATATGGTTCATAATTTAATTTTGGAAGTTTCCAACTCAATTTTGCCTCGAGATTCGTGCCGGATCAAGACAATTTTTTGATGATATATCACTTATAAACCTAGAAAAGCTTGATTAAAGGATTAAGAAAATAGCGGGCTTTTAATCCCTCGATCTTTTAATCCGAAGAATAGAAGATTTACTTGATAGAAATAGCTCTTATGAGTTATTTGGTATGATTACATGCAGTTATTGGGGCTTTACTTCCTTTCTTTTAATCCTAAATGCATCCAATCAGCCTCAGCCTCCTATGAAACATATTGCATCTTTGCTAAACACAAATAGCTTCAAGCTATAATAGCCTGATTCCTAAATCCAAACACCAATGCACCAAAAAGCTCGATAAATAACGCCCAGTTCAGGAAAAGCGATAAGACTAATAAAAGAAAAAGAATGCATTAATGAAATAACCTTAATATTTTTGGGAGAAAAAGAGACAAGAATCTGAAGATGATCCAAAGATACTCACCAGCGCAAGAGACCCGATTCAGCTTTGGTATCCCGATCTGAAAGCGGTCAACAAATAGAGTGGATTGAATACCCTTTAACCTTCAGGAATTTCGAGTATTCAATCGTTCCCGGATAGCAGAAAGCGTGCGCAGCTCGACGGGTTCTCAGATGGAGGAAGATAAATATAATCTTTCAAGTTATATTTTTTGATCTGCTTGATGCTTAAAATACAGCTAACAAAGCGCGGCGTAGCTGAGAGGACACGGGATTCATGGCTCTGCTCACCCGACAAAGACCCCGTCAAAATCTTGAATGGCCGATAGAATCACCGCCACCGCGAGTAAGATTTCTATTTTTATTTTTATTTTTATTTTTGAATTTACATGCCTATAATTTTATATCAAGCTACACTTAAAATTTTAATATTTCATATTTATCATTTATAGATAATTTTAATTTCAAATATATCATTTATATATTTCATTCCTACAATTTATATTATCTTATAAATTTTAATATTTCATTCTTATATTTGATATATGAGTGATAATCATAAAATATTAAATTTTTAAGTATTATATATGTGAATAATATGATATAAAACGGTATATATGTAATTCCCCTCTTTCTTTTTTTATAACTTGTAAATAAAAAGCTTTGACTGGACTTTGGTAGATATTAGTAGGTGTGGAAGGTAATTATGAGATTGTTACATGTCATCACTTGCATTTTTATTAATCAATACAAAAGTTGAATTAGGTGCTCTCTAAGAAGTTTGATAGGTATAGACTTTTAGATATTTTTTGTTATATTTAAGATGATATGAAATTATATGATTTAGATTTATTAAATAATTTAAAATTGATGAAAATATTTATTGAGAAATGTGTAATGAAATAGGGAAATATTAAGATATTTATATATGGTTCATAAAATAAATATCATAGAAAATTATCATGTGTTGTTTTTCTTGGTATCATCATAATGAAATTTAAGTCATGATCTTGTGAGCTATTTTTTTGCTAGCCAATAAAATTAGTGATTATTGTTGTTAAGCTTGAAAAGTCGAGTCAATTAATTTACAGAGTAGTAAATATGGACCTTCTTAGCTACGCAGAGAGAAATTATTATTTGTGGACACCGGACGGTCCGGAGACCAATCAAAACGTGTCACATCACCTGATACATAGTAGTACCGAGCAAGAAAAAAAAAACATGATGCGTTCTAATTGGTCTCTAAACGTTGTCGGATATCTGCACAGAATAATTTTTTCATTGAAGGTTACACAGACTACGTGGTAGAAAAATTATTAGGTTTTATTGAGCAAATTTTTTTGTTATTTACTTAGAAATGTAACAAAACTCAATTTCATAAGAAAATTTATTTTTTAAAAATTTCAAAGTCATATATTACAAACTCTTCCTCCCCTTCACAAATAGTTGATATTGTTGATATTATCTATCTCATTACCTATTTAAGAGATTTTGATGATAACAAATATATGCTTGGATGCTCTAATTTGTGTGCTAAGTATTTCAGGTGTAATGATGTGCATTGTAATTGCTTATGGGATTTACATTGCACAACTCAAGATCAATCAAATGTTGAGATTAAGATGGACCAAGATGCATAATTTGAAGCCTTTTACATTATCGTAGGAGTTTGTTAATAGTCCACCAATATTACTTGCATATTTTGATTTGCTCACAATCTAAATATCTTTTGATTATATATTAATCTTGATATAAAAATCTATAAGATTTCTTTAATAAATAAATTCTATAATCAACATTGATTGATTAATTATTATCAAATATAGAAAGTTATATAATTAGGGAATTAAAGATAATAAGTTTATATGACAAAATTTTTATTATGTAGTTATTTTAAACTGACTTATTTCATATATATTAATTAATGTATGATTAATTTTATATATATTACATAATATTATTATAAAATTAGGCGCTCTCTAAGAAGGTTGATAGGTATAGACTTTTAGATATTTTTTGTTATATTTAAGATGATATGAAATTATATGATTTAGATTTATTAAATAATTTAAAATTGATGAAAATATTTATTGAGAAATGTGTAATGAAATAGGGAAATATTAAGATATTTATATATGGTTCATAAAATAAATATCATAGAAAATTATCATGTGTTATTTTTCTTGGTATCATCATAATGAAATTTAAGTCATGATCTTGTGAGCTATTTTTTTGCTAGCCAATAAAATTAGTGATTATTGTTGTTAAGCTTGAAAAGTCGAGTCAATTAATTAACAGAGTTGTAAATCTCAATCTTCTTAGCTACGTAGAGAGAAATTATTATGTGTGGACACCGGACGGTCCAGAGACCAATCAGAACGTGTCACATCACCTGATACATAGCAGTACCGAGCAAAAAAATGACATGGCGCGCGTTCTGGTTGGTCTCTGAACGCCGTCCGGTATCTGCACAGAATAATTTTTTCATTGAAGGTTACACGAACCACGTGGTAGAAAAATTATTAGGTTTTATTGAGCATTTTTTTTTTGTTATTTACATAGAAAATGTAACAAAACTCAATTTCAAAAGAAAAAGCAATTTTTTAAAATTTTCAAAGTTGTATATTACAAACTCTTCCTCCCCTTCACAAATAGCTGATATCCTTAATAATAATAATAATAATAAAAATAGTCGAGCTCCTTAATGTTCTTTCTCCAATGAGATTCCGTCATGACTTCATCGTCGAGAGTTAAAAGATTTTGAGTAGAAGCGAGTGAAGAATGTGTCATATGGGACACAAGTTAATAGAAGAATGGTTTAGTAAATAGAAAATTTTAGGTGAAAGACATATAAATAAGATAATTTTATATCCTTTCTACAGCTATAATTTATGTTTTCCAAATTTTATCAGGCAAAATAATAATAATAATAAAACCATTCAGCTCAATACATCAATTCAATAAAACCCTCCATCAATCTCCCTATTGTGATAGAAAATACATTTTTATATTAATGTTTTAAAATAGCACTTTATTTTTGTTATATCATCAAAAAATTATGTTGATCGGGCACGAATCTCGACGCAAAATCAAGCTGAAAACTTCAAAAATTAAATCCGGGATCACTTGAACTCTGATTTTAGCAAACTTATAGTCAAGCTGAGCGTCTCGGAAATAAAAACCCAACGACATCAAATTCGACTCAATCCGAGCCCAAATGAGTCCAAATCAAGAATACGAAGTGCTGTTGGAAAGTTCAAACCACAAACTGAGTTACCAAACGTTTTCGAAACATGACGTGCTTATGCTCGAATCGAACAGCTCGACGAGACAAATCCAACGAGCCCAATATCGCTGAATTCTGAAGTCATTAATACCTTCATATATCTGATAAATGATCCACGATCAAAGAATTCAATATCAGCCGTTCATCCGAACCACTCCATATTTGCCTATAATCTCTCATCTATTTACGAGACATGACACTCCAGAAAATCTATAAACAGACCCCTCATTTCTCTTGAGAGGGGACCCAAGCAAAAAGAAGAGGAGAAGAAGAGGAGAAGAGAAGAATAGGAGGGAAGAGACTCCTCATCGACCACCGCCGAACTCCAAGTGATGCCAGAATTTTGCCCAAGTGACGGCGAAACTCCGCCCAAGTGAAACTGGAGTTCTCCTCAGCCACCAACAGACGTCGAATTTTTACCTGACGCTAGACCTTCACTCATCGCCAAGTTTCTACCCGATGCCGGACTTCTAGCGGTTATTGGACTTTCGCTGGACGTCTATCTGAAGATGGATTTCTTTTCATTGTTGGACTTCTACCTAACGTCGTCCTTCTAACCTCTGTCATGAGCCAACGGTCTTTCTGACCTCCGTCACCCGCCGACTACGGTCCTCCTGACTTACGTCGTCCACCGACTACAGTCTTTCTGACCTACATTGCCAGTCGACTACGGTCCTCCTGACTTACGTCGCCCGCCGACTACAGTCTTTCCGACCTCCGTCGCCCGCCGACTACAGTCCTCCTGACTTACGTCGCTCACCGACTACAGTCTCTCTGACCTCCGTCGCCAACCAACTACGGTTCTTCTGACTTACGTCCCCAGCAGACTACAGCCTTTCCGAGCTTTGTCGCCAGACAACGGTCTTTATAACCTCCGTCGCCCACCGACTACGATTCTTCTGACCTCCGTCACCAGACTATGGTCCTCCCAACCAAACGAACATTTTAATAGTGATTCTCTGTATTCTCACCATGTAATATACTTTATAAGATGTACAAAAATCTAAGGTCTTCCCCTAAGGAAGGGCCTTCGCCGACTACAGTCCTTCTGACTTACGTCGCCCTCCGACTACAGTCTCTCTGACCTCCGTCGCCAACCAACTACGGTTCTTCTAACTTACGTCCCCAGCAGACTACAGCCTTTCCGAGCTTCGTCGCCAGACAACGGTCTTTATAACCTCCGTCGCCCACCGACTACGGTTCTTCTGACCTCCGTCACCAGATTATGATCCTCCCGACCAAACGAACACGTCAATAGTGACTCTTTGTATTCACATCATGTAATGTATTCTATAAAATGTACATCAAGCTAAGGCCTTCTCCAAAAGGAAGGGCCTCATTTGTAATCAACTGCTATACTAGTGGATTCATTCAAACTGGGCTAGGCCCCTTTGGTTTTTCCCCCTTTCATGAATTTTTCACGTAAAAATCTTGGTGTCTCCTTAAATGATGGACCCTATCTCTTTATCTGTGTGCGTGCTGGATCTTCGTACAATGCTGAGACGTTAAACTTTATATTTCTTTGCCGCCGCAAATACCCGTGGACGCAACAATTTTCATTAAATAAATAATGATAATTTATACATGTTCATATAAAAGAACCTTCTTTGCATTCTTCAACCAAAAAATGATGCCTAAAATACAAAAAAAAAACTAAGAATAATTGAATTGCATGTTGAAATTCTTTAAAATCTCATTCTGGATGTTGATATCATTAGTGATTTAATTTCATCTTATTTGATAGGATATTTATTTTAAAATTATAATTATCTTCTTTTATAACAAAATCATTCATTAAAAAAGTTATGATGGATACAACTGATGATTAAGATTTTATTTGGAACAGTTTTCTTACCACTTCTTAAAATAATTATTTTAGTACAAAAAATTTAATTTGTATTAAAAAGCTGTTTTAAGAAGTTGTAAGAAAGTCATCTTAAATGAAGCCTAAAATTTTATCGGGGCAGGTTTCTCACCGTTTTTTAAAACAGTTTTTTAGTATAAATTTTTTAATTTTATATTAAAAACTACTTCAAGAAATAATAAGAAAATCATTTTTGAAATAATTTTCTTACTATTTTTAAAGTAACTTTTAAATATACAATTTTTTATAAAAAACTGCTTTGAAAAAGATTTCCCAAGTCTAATTATGTGATCTTAAATTTTGTTTGGAAGTATGGATGGCAGTAATTTTTTTTTTTTTTGGGAAATTTGATGGCAGTAATTTAAAGGAAGAAGAATAATGAACAGCATCAATGTCAATCCAATTTTATTTTTGAGCAGATTTCCTCAATACATTTAACCCCCATTCAAAACAAATTTAATATTTTAATCGACGGAGGCAACGTTGGAGTCATCAACTTCCTTAAAATTCCCCCTAGTGAGTGCTCGAAACTTTCTTGCAATTCACTTACAGTTACAATAACTGCAGAAATCTTGAGACGGTGGATAAGTATAACTTGAAGCCGATGATGGATGATATGCTCCAAACGCCGGCATCGGCGGCGGAATAGACGCCGTCGGAGGGGTATAATAACCGGCGTTCGCAGTAACAGGAACAGACAAACATGCATCCCGGTTCAATACTGGAGAAGAAACCGCTCGGTCAAACGCAGGATAATACCCAGAAGCCGGAGGCGGTGGAGGCAGCGGATAGTAATATTTGGGCGGATCCGGCGGCGGAGGCTGATTGTAATAACAGAAACAATCCTCCGGCTCTGCTTCAGGTAGCGGTATAGGTGGATAAAGACTTTTCGTCGTCTGCGCCGGCGGAGGAGTATAATCATCCATTGGCGGCGCAGACGGAATTCCATGATCAAGCGGCGGCGGGAGCCGAATCTCCATCTCGGGAAGGTTCAAGCTATAAGAGAAACTCAGGACGCCATTAGGCTTACCTTCGGGAGATCGGACCTGGTAGCTCACGTGACGGAAGGCATCGGAAGGATGCCCAACAGATAGATCGGTAATCGGAACGCGGGATTTGCCGATAACCTTGTCACCGAAGAGAAGGAGATTCCCCTGCGCCATGATAGCGAACTCCAGAAACAGATCCTTAAAGTCGCTATCGTCAAAATCGAACTGGATCGTTTGATCCCATTCAGGATTCTCGCCACCTTCATGATCGGCCGATGTCTTCTGCTTTCGCTTCTGTTTCCGGCGGCCGTCGTTTCCGGCGGCGATGGAGACGACGGCGTAGGTGGAGGGTTTCTGGAAGAGATTGAAGGATTGAACGCCTCTGCAGGAAATGGACTTCAGAGCTATCGATCTTCGATCCATCTCCGCCGCTTTCTTGTAGGAGATCGTATCAGCTACTTTGTTATTTATTTGACTGATGGGTTCTGCTGATGGTTATGATATCCGCAGAAGCACTGTAAGGTAGCTGGCTTGGCGAATGACATAATGACACGAGCCCACTGGCGCGTTTCTTCGTCTGGAAGGGAGGCGAAGAAACCTATGCTTTCTCTTTGCGTCCGTGCAGGAACGAGGAAGCATCTGTGGTCATCGTGGTCAACAGGTAAAAGAACGGTTCTTTTCCCGTATTATTATTTAATTTATTTGTCTTATAATAAGATTGTCATGGTTGTCCTATTTTGAAAATTCTTGCGTATCTATTATCAAATTGAGCAAAAATAATAATAATAGAAGAATAATAAAAATGTTATTAAAATATTTAAATTTGATATTTAAATTTTATTTAAGACAAGTTTATTATTATTTTAAATATTTATTTGCCCTTTATTTGAGACATTTTTTTATGTTTTATAACGTAGCTTTTTAATAAAAAAATTCTTAAATTAGAAATTTTTATACTAAAAAGTCACTTTAAAAATTAGTAAAAAAATTATCTCAAACAAGACAAATTATTATGTGTGGAGACCAGACGCAGAATGTCGTCCATCCGAAGGCCAACCAGAATGCGCCACATCAACGTACCGAGCCACGATATCGAGCACATGAGTATCATGACGTATTTTAGTTAATCTTCAAACAACATTCAGTGTCCACACATAATAATTAATTCTCGAACAAAGCTTTAAATTATTCAAAAGAATTTATAAATTTTTAGTATATCATCACTTTTTTCACTCAATTTTGATTGATCTTATTTTGAAAATGCATAAATAAATTGTGATAATTAGACTCAACAGTCCCTCAAATTCAATCAGAGGTCACTTGTTAGTCTTCATTTGAGAGACTGTTTTCTAGTACAAAAATTTCTATACTATTTTTTAAAACAATTTTTTTAGTACAAAAATTTGAATTAAAAAAATTTTGCATTAAAAAAACTGCTTTAAAAAGCATGAAAAAATCTTTCCCAAATAAAAATTTGGACATCCATCTATAAAATTAAGCAAGCAGTGGAAAAACTGACTTAAATTCACCTTAGCTATAAATACAAGGAAGCTACAATAAAGTCTACAAATTCTAGAAATCTGAAAGCAGAAAGCTACATGACCAATTCTCTCATATTTTCTTGCAACCTCAATACAAATTACAACAGGTTATTAAATAAACAAAGTGGAGAATACAACACAAGAAAGTTTATAAGCTGCAACTCTGGGAACAATCACAGACGATGAGGAAGTCTTCCAGACTAGAATTTGCATCACTTAGTCTTTTTCTTATTGCCCGATTCAAATACTGAAATAATCTTCTTCCAGCTCCTGATTGCAATGAGCGTTGCGATGACAACCCAGAAGCCATTTGCTCCGACGTAGTATGCCCAGTAGTAGAAAGGACTGGTGGCGAAGTTATCTCCATCCAAATATGAAGTGACAAAGTATACCATGCAGCCATAAAGCTGGCCCAGGCAAATGGCAAACTGGAGGATGTAGCTGTATGATTTTCTTGATGCAATTGCATATCTGAACAGGCATGCAAACAAATAAATATCAAACACTACTGTCCAAAGACAGACTAAGGCTTCGTTTGTGATGACTTTCTTAATCACGAGTAAACGGGAAGCAGTAAAGTAATATTTTAAGCTTTGTTTGGGACGATTTTTTTATTGCTTCTTAAAGCAGTTTACTAGTATAGAATTTTTAATTTTTTTGTGTTATGAGTTATTATTGTATTTTCCATTTATACCCTCATTTGAGGGCCTAGTCATGTGTAAACCCTAGGGGCAAGTTAGTCTTTTATTTTCTTTCATTGTAATGAGGCTATTTAAAGGCCACCTCCTTCTTGGAGGATAATGAAGATTATTATGAAAAAATTCAGCAATTGAGTTATTGTGAGAGTTTGAGAGTTCTTGGAGAGAAATCACTAAGAGAGAGAATACCCACCAACCGCAGGAAGCGTCCGGGCTCGTGGTTATCATCTCCTTCCTCCCCTCTTCCTCCTTCAAGCCATCGTCCTCCCCACTAGATCCCTCCCCATTAAAAGCCAGCCACATCACCTCCTTAGCCGCCGGCCAAGTAGCTCCATCTCTCCCTTCTCCTAGCCACCGGACCCTCCTAACCCCATCCATAATTGCCAGCTAATCCAATTCCCAAACCCCTACCACCACCTAACCTTACCCTAATTCCAACAGTCGGCCATCCTAACCCTAATCCCAAGCCACTGGCCCCAATCCCCTTAACCTCCAAAATTCAAATTCCTATATTGATTGCCTTCCATGTGGGATGAACCTTAACTGGGAAGGTTAATTTCAGATTTCAAATCAATTTGAATTTTGAAATTCTTACCTAAATTGAGGTGATTTATTTTAGAAAAGTTACTTAAATCAAGCCCAATTGAATTTCAAATTGGATTTAATTTAAATTAATGATTCCCAATTTGAGGTTCTTAATTAGGCAATCCTAAATCCTTCCCTAAAAGCCCACTCAAGCCCCAAGCATGCCGCCGGCCCCTTGTCCCCCTTCCCTCTCCCTTTCAGATTAAATTCCTACCTTCTTGAGAGCATCAATTACTTCTCTCATTAAGGACTACCCTTCTTTTTTTGCTCTTGTTTGAAATTCAAATTACATAACCCCAAATCCCTCCAAACAAAAATCTAAATTTGAAAATTTTCTTACCCCTCCCCCATTAACCGCCAGCCCTTCCCCACCTCCTCCTTCCCTTCCTCTCTCCCAAAACAACTACTAAAACCCAATTCTAGGTTTCCAAGTTGCTGTCAGAATTTTCGGGACGTTGCTTGACAGCTGTTCAGAAAATTACTGCACGTCTCCTTGCTGTCCAGCCGGCTGGGAGATCATCGTTTGAAGCCCAAAAGCTACAGCACACCAAAATCTATTGTTCCCTCATGCATGGCATATCCAAAATTTGATCACAGATTCGTTTACAACGACCAAGGTCACGTCGACATCCTCAACTCCCCTTTCTTGATCTCAACCTCGAGGTTGACCAAACCATAGATGATTATGTGGAGAGGATCGTCTTCACCCTCGCTGAAGCTATTGACGAGCAACTTTCTTCCTTCTAATAGCAGATTGTCTCCGAATCCTAAGCAAGGTGAATCTTTCCCCTAAATCTTTTCCTATCTAACTCTTACCCCAAACTTATGGTTTTAATTGATTCATTAAGATCGTGTTAAGTATCTCCGCTGAGCCTAGTAATTTAGAAAGCGAATGAAGGACTCCTCGTAGCAAATAATCTCATTGTTAACGTAGGGATTTATTGTTGTAAATCTCTCGTGTATGCTATGTTTTGAATAATTGATTATTTTGTGATCCTAACCTCTGGTCGTGTGACTTGGCCTAAAGCTAGTCTCATCTCTTTCTTGTTTTATTTCATCGTTTAATCACTACAAGTAGTTTAGTTAATAAAGCTCTCTAAATTAAATTGTGCATGATTCTTTTCTAACATCGCTTAATCATTTAGGTCTTGCATCCTCATTGCTCCTTCACAAATTGTTTTTATGGTCACCCTACCTCCAGTAGGCATTCACCATTATGAACCTACGAGTCTGAATACTCAAAACTGCTATACATAACCAATCATTAGAACAATTCAACAGTTGCATGCATGCATGAGGAAGGAGCAAATGTGCTATAGAGTTTACACTCTTGTCCAAGGATACGCCATTCATTATACTAAGATACTTACCTATAATGCATATTTTATCTTGGTTGCTCCGAAAGTGGATGTAGGTTTTTAGACCAAACCACCTCTCCCCCTTTTGTGTTCAATTTCCTATCTTTGTCTCCTGATAACCTAACTACAACATAATAATTTTCATCTCTCTCTCTCGTTTGAACTCTCCAGCAAGGCTTTTCTCTAGCGGTCCTCTTGAGAAAGTGAGTTTTCACCATTCAGAAGGATGATGTTAATAATAATCAATCAATATTATTAGAAGATAAAGTGATACCTAAGCACTACAAGAACAACATCAAGCCTTTATCCCATTCCGTGGGTCAGCTACATGAATCCTTTTCTTCATGGTGTCCGGTTAAGAGTCAAATTCTCATTTGGATCTAATAAAGAAAGGTCATTTCTAATATTTCCTAACAAAGTCTTTTTAGGTCTACCTCTACCTTTCTTAACATAGGTTAAATCTAATACATCTACTCTCCTAACCGGGACATTGGAAGGCCACCGTTTTATGTGAAGACAAAGTGATACCTAAATATAATATATTTAACTAACTTGAATCTATTGTATAGAAGAATTAGAAAAGATAAGGATATAAATTATAGGGTAAAAGTTGTATGATTAAAATGGAGAAGTGTCCTAGGAGTATTATGCTATTAAAATATATTATCAAGACTAAAAAGGTATATTTTATAAAATATTCAATGATATTATATGGATTTGAGTGTTATGTAGTAAAAAAGTCATTTATTTCTAAGTTAAACTAATGAATTATTATATTAGAGGAACAGTTGAGGTCATCTTCTAGGCGATTTGGGTATATTCAATGAATTGCAAAAAAAAAATGCAACCATTCAATGAGCATATGAAATTAGTGAGGATTGAGTGAGAAGGGGCAAACTTACGGCTATGTGGAAAGAATTCTATAAATGATTTGCAAAGAATAAGTTTAACATCTCAAGCAAAGCTAAACAAGATGAGTGAAAAATGAGGATTCATAAAGTTGACTCCAAATAGTTGAATAAGGCTAATGATGATGATGATGATGATGCCAAGGATGATTGAATGGTGTAAATAGAAGCTCACTTAGTTTACTTTTATTCATTTTTCAAATTCATCGAATACACACCAAATGTCATCACCATTCAAAGTATTTAGTTCTAGGCCATTTAAAAGATTATCCACCTTGAAAATCATAATAATTATCTCATGCAATTAGTGTCACCCTATATAAAATTTTGATGCATTCAATGGTCGATCATATGATCCATATCGAAGGATAGTGTGCGCTGGCATAAAATCAAGAATAATCAATACCAATTATGTTGATCTACTAAAATAGAATGTGTAATGCAAAATGTATAATTTTATCACTTTTAGGACTATTTGATTATCATCAAACTTGATAAAAAGGATTGCTGTTAATGCCCATCACTAAAAGTGCTACTCTCTCTCTCTCTCTCTCTCTCTCTCTCTCTCTCTTTTATATTAAAGCCATAAAAGTTGTTCAAGTGTTATTATTTATATGATTAAAGAATATCATTTGATTTGGCTTGAAAAGAATGAATCATCTTACCAATTAAACGAACTATTATGGTGTTATATTTGCATGTTTAATGAATAATCAAACATCTATAAATTTTATTAAATTTGGTTGTTCGCTAGCACGCAAGCACACGCAGAAATAGGGAGAGATACTATTACACTTTGAGAAGGATAGAAGAGAAACCTTAAGCTATTTTAAATCTTAAGTATTCAAAATGCTGATAGATGATGTAAGATGTGCAAGAAGAATGGACTCTATCTTTCTAAAAGGATAGTTTCATATTAAAGCCATAAAAGTTGTTTAAGTGTTATTATTTATATGATTAAATAATATCATTTGATTTGACTTTGCATGTTTAATGAGTAATCAAACATCTATAAATTTTATTAAATTTGGTTGTTCGCTAGCACGCAAGCACACGCAGAAATAGGGAGAGATACTATTACACTTTGAGAAGGATAGAAGAGAAACCTTAAGCTATTTTAAATCTTAAGTATTCAAAATGCTGATAGATGATGTAAGATGTGCAAGAAGAATGGACTCTATCTTTCTAAAAGGATAGTTTCTCTCTATCTCTCTCTCTTTGTCTCCCTCTCTATCCGTCTCTCCTTAATGCCACCCATATGAGACAAGAAACACTTGTAGATCGCAAGTATTTCATATTAATCTTCTAAAAACAGCGAGAATTCTCCACAAAAACCACGTAAAAATAGAAAAACAGTGGATAATTTGTAATATTTGATGAAATGGAAACGAAAAATACCAAGATACAATTGATCCTCTATTCGAGAGGAGGATCTTTCTCTCCCAAATCTCTAGACGCCGCTAGAGCCCAAAGGAAACCTAAAATCTAAGAGATCTCAAATTTCAGCAAAATTCCCTAGGAAAACAAAAGTCTTTAATGCATACAAATCAAAAGGAAATCCCTAAATAGTCACTACATTCAAATTTCCCTCCAAAATCCCACAAAAATCCTTCCTAAAAAGCTCTGCCAGCTCCTGCGGCGTGTGCGCCTGAAGCAAAAGGCGGAGGCATCCGCCTTGTTCGTCTGGGCCGGTCCCACGTGGACCGACTGGACCAGTCAAATGGACCGGTCTAACAATACTCCCATCCCAAAGATCCACCTTATCCGCAAGGTGGAAAGAAGACACCCTCCTTCATCACAAACGGTAAGAACCTGAAGAGTTCGGTCCTTACACCTATGCCCTGGCGTATACCTTTCGTCACATCTGAAACAGAGCCCTTTCACCCTCTTCTCCTGTAATTCTGTCTCTGTGAGCTTCTTGAAGTGTCCCCAGGTCTTCCTCCTGCAGTCTTTTCCTTTGAAGTCCCCCGAAGACTATTCGGTGTTGGCTCCTTGGATTTCAATATAGTAGTGGTCATCCTGTACAAGTCTCCTGAGCTGTCGCCTCCCGTCTCTCCCTCCAGGTGCCTCTGATCTTCAACCAATTGAGCTAGCTCCATAATCTCTCCCAAGTCACGAGGCCTCATTACTCTAACCGCTGCTCTGATCTCTAGTGTCAATCCCGTCATGAAGTTTCCCTCTAGCACTGTCTCAAAAGGCAGTCCAATCGGCTAGCAAGATACTCGAATCTCTCCTAGTAATCCGTCACTGAACCCTCTTGTGTCAAGGCGAAGAATTGCTTGTAGAAGTCTCCTTCCCTGACGTTTGGAAATGTTCTACCAAACAATTCTTGAACTCTCTCCAACTCTGTGTGGGTCGTCGCATGCCTCTCCACTGATACAAAGACAAAGCCTTCCCTTCTCAATATAGGCTTGCCACCTTCAATCTCTCCTCCTCTGTCAGCCCATTGACGGCAAAATATCTTTCTACATTGTAGATCCACCCGTGCGCATCCTCCCCCTCAAAGATTGGCATCTTCAGCTTCCTCACCCTCGGGTCACACCCGTTTCCCCTAAATCCTCTATACCTACCCATTCCTCGAAGCGGAGTTGCTCCCCAATTGTTATGATCTTCCCTCCAACGATCATACCCAAACCATTCATCAAAATCCCTTCTTCTTCTTTCAAAATCAGCACCCCGGCGATCGAAATCATCCCATCTCCTTATAAATTCAGCACCCCTTCTTGCGTAGCCAATACTCATCTTGTAACGCCCTAAGATCTAACTTGGAAAGAATTTCAATCAATTCATTAAAACCATTTACCAGAGCTATCTATAACTTCAATCAAACAGTCTAGCAAAAAAAAATCTATAACATTTATAACATCAATGTACAAGTCGATTCAAACATCAAAAGATCATATACAATACTCAGGAGCTACACTATGAACTGACATCTATCCAGTCCTGAGTACAAAAGAATCACTATAACAAAAAAGGACAAAAACCTGGAGATTCCTGATCAACCTCAATCTCCTGCTCTCTTGCCCTGACCTGAAAATATTAACCACATATAATGAGCTTCAAAAAGCCCAGCAGGTCACCTAATACCTACAACTGAAATCAAAGCACGATACTGGAAACAATATGCATGTCAGTCAAGGGTCTAACAATACTCCCCTCCCAAAGATCCACCTTATCCGCAAGGTGGAAAGAAGACACCCTCCCTTACTTCTTCATCACAAACGGTAAGAACCTGAAGAGTTCGGTCCTTACACCTGTGCCCTGGCGTATACCTCTCGTCACATCTGAAACAGAGCCCCTTCGCCCTCTTCTCCTGTAATTCTGTCTCTGTGAGTTTCTTGAAGTGTCCCCAGGTCTTCCTCCTGCAGTCTTTTCCTTTGAAGTCCCCCGAAGACTCTTTGATGTTGGCTCCTTGGATTTCAATAAAGCAGTGGTCATACTGTATGAGCCTCCTGAGTTGCCGCCTGCCGCCTCCCATCTCTCCCTCCAGGTTCCTCTGATCTTCAACCAATTGAGCTAGCTCCATAGTCTCTCCCAAGTCACGATGCCTCATTACTCTAAACGCTGCTTTGATCTCTAGTGTCAATCACTTCATGAAGTTTCCCGCTAGCACTGTCTCAAACGGCGGTCCAATCGGCTAGCAAGATACTCGAATCTCTCCTAGTACTCCGTCACTGAACCCTCTTGTGTCAAGGAGAAGAATTGCTCGTAGAAGTTTCCTCCTCTGCCATTTGGAAATGTCCTACCAAACAATCCTTGAACTCTCTCCAACTCCGTATGGGTCGTCGCATGTCCTTCCACTGATACAAAGACAAAGCCTTCCCTTCTAAATATAGGCCCGCTGCCGTCAATCTCTCCTCCTCTGTCAGCCCATTGACGGCGAAATATCTTTCTACCTTGTAGATCCACCCGTGCGCTTCCTCCCCCTCAAAGATTGACATCTTCAATTTCCTCTAAATCCTCCATACCCTCCCATTCCTCGAAGCGGAGGTGCTCCCCAATTGTTATGATCTTCCCTCCAACGATCATACCCAAACCATTCATCAAAATCCCTTCTTCTTCTGTCAAAATCAGCACCCCGGCGATCGACATCATCCCCTCTCCTTATAAATTCAGCACCCCTTCTTGCGTAGCCAATGCTCATCTCCTTCCTAGAAAGTGGTTCTAGATGAAGCATTCAGTCTTCTCCCTCCAGGATCTCCACTTCTGGCTTTTCCCTTCCCTTAAACGTGTTAAGTTCCCATCTCTTCCATGGCCACCAGTAGTTTCCTTTGCTTTCGATGTCACCGGTTTGGTTTTGGCTTCAAGCAATTTCTTCAACATGTTTTCCACCATGACAAACTTTTCCTCTATTTTTTCATTGACGTATGCAATCTGACTTTGAAAATCAGTCATTTTTTCCTCATAATCTGCTTTGAGTTGCCCAAGTTCTCCCTCCAAAACTTCCACTTTCCTTCCAGCCATTGGTTCCCCTTCGATCGACGTGCTCTGATACCAATTTGATAGGAAACACTTGTATATAGCAAATATTTCCTATCAATCTTCTAAAAAACAATTTGAATTCTCCACAAAACTCCCGCAAAAATAGGAAAACACTGGATAATTTATATTATTTGATGAAATGAAAATGAAAAATACCAAGATACAATTGATCCTCTATTCGAGAGGAGGATCTTTCTCTCCCAAATCTCTAGACGCCGCTAGAACCCAAAGGAAACCTAAAATCTAAGAGATCTCAAATTTCAGCCAAATTCAGGATGCCCTAAACCTAGGAAAACAAAGTCTTTAATGTATACAAATCAAAAGGAAACCCCTAAACAATCCCTACATTCAAATTTCACTCCCAAATCCCTCAAAAATCCTTCCTAAAAAGCTCCGCCAGCTCCTGCGGCACGTGCAGCTAAAGCAAAAGGCGGAAGCGTCCGCCTCGTTCATGTATGGGCCGGTCCCGCGTGGACCGGTCTAACAGTATGTTAAGGATAAAACAAGATAAGCAAACTTAATATAGACAGAGAAATTTATATCCAAGGAAAACCCTACAAGTATCATGTTGAGATTAACTTAGATATAATAGGTCTAGACGTCTAGTTCAGTTAAAGCCAAAATTCTAAACCCATTTAATAAAAGGATTTTTCATCATTATAAAAAAACCCAATTGTTATAACAAGATTGTCTTTTTAGGTTGGGCAATACAAATTAGGTCACCATGTCAATTTTGTATTAGGTAAACACTAGCCTAACAAGAATTAATTGTTTCTCATGTTAGGTATCATTCCCATTTGTTATTGAGTTAGGGCTTTGAAATATTATCTTTTGGTTGCTTAAACCTTGAGTGTGAATTGGACTCAGCTTGTCTAGATTAATATCGAGTCATTTTTAGTTGAACCTAAACCCACTCATGAACATGAACTTAAATCTCTAACTATGCTTGTATGGGTGTGTGCACATGTATATGGCTTGATATTTAATATAGCATCCAATTCATCTACCGAACTACAAATCTTAAAGTCTTACATACCTAAGAAAATTGTCAAAGCAAAATCACTCATATCTTTGGAAGACAACAAAAGAAGGCATTTTCTCATGTAAATAGTAATTACTAGAACATGTATCAAATATGAAATAATGAAAAGTGGCAAAGTAAAAGATAAACTTACACAACTAGCAGGCAAGCTGGACCCTCTATCGCAGCAGTAAATCCTTCAAGTGCAACAATTGCTGAATCTCTACTAACATATCTTGAATCACCCTTACCATACTCTTTCCCTAAAAAAAATGAAGAGATCATTTAGAAGTGAAGGCTCTAATAAGCTACAAATGTCAATCCAAAACAACATTAACAAGTTTTTTATACAAAGAGGTGAATCCAATAACACTTACATAGTTCATCGAGATAGAAGGGAGTTTTCTTCTTGAAGAAGTCTGGAACAAAAGCAAAATACCCTTCAAGGATTATGTGAGTCAATCCCGAAAATGCCCACCAACACATAAGTAGCCTATCCGTCTTTGATAACTTTGGAAAGCGCCCTACAAAAAGAAACATATTAAAGTTATTGTTCTGCATAAAGATCCTTGTAAGCACCATCCTAAATTAAAAAAAAAAAATCTAAAATAATTAAAGTAAAGCATTTTTAAAATCAAAGTTGCAGGTTCCAAAATCTGGATGAGAATGACAGGAGGATTAACGAGTAAAACTTATGACAAAATCCGTTATTTGAATCTCAAATTTGAAATTCGTTGCCCGGTGTTCTTCAAAAGCAATGCATCACAACTTTTTTTTTTTTTAATGCATCACAACCTTGTGGTCATAAAATGAGATAAACAAGGGCTATTTAGGACATCATCTACAGGTGTCACACCATAAAATAACCCAATAGGGGTGAGTAATAGGCAATGTTTAATTAATATGCACACAAAAATGATGTGCCAAAACTTACCCCAATTACGGTAAAAAATGAAAGTGTTGACTAAATCCAAACTAGCTTTGGTTTTATTGCATTTGGGAATGGAAATACTAGCAACTCTTTAATAAAATTTTTAAGACAAACAGGAAGAAAAATACATGGTAAAGATATGAATTTAGATAACAAAATCTAAAAACAAAAGAAATCTATGATTATGGAGACTATAAGCAAATTAAACTTAAGAGTCATAAATGAAATTATAATATAAGGTGATCAAATATAGGAGAAAAATTCATGTTAGTATTACACACTTTCCATGCTCAGGTGATTAACGAAAAAGTTTAAATAGTGATAAAGGGATCTTGTTATAATTTTAATCATTTTTAGAAGGCACATAAACAAGTGTCATGATAATTGATTAGGAGAGTGTAAAGAAGAAAAAAGTGTTAAAAGGTATGTTTAAGTTATTAACATTTTATATAATGGAACACTAACCAGTATTGGGAGTAATTATGATATGAACATTTTTTTAATTAGAATAGAATCACATCAATGTCTATCATTACGTATGTGCTATTTATATTGTTATAGAGATTACTATCCAAGATACTCAAAATGGGGTATCATAAAGAAAGCTAAATGTAGATGATAGCTTTGATAAGTGGCGCCTCTTCTGAATTATGTTACAAGTATAGGAAAACAAAAAAAAAATGAAGATAAAAGGCTTGAGATTAATAGACAAAGACTAAGTACATAATATGCAAATTTATTATTGTGAAACTGATTACTATAAATCAATGTTATTGGAAGATGATTCCAAGCCTCCTAGGGGTGATGAATTTAAGGACATATAATCTATTACATATAAAAATGAAGAAATTGATAAAGACATAACTTCTAAATTGAAAGCAATGTAGATAAAGTTAGAAGTATCACACAAATACTATTTGATAAAGAATGTCACAGAGAATTTAAGGTCATTTATAAAATTGCAAATAGACAAGAATATGACAGGGCTTGAGTGTTATGAAACAAATAAAACATTAATAGTTAAGTTAATAATGGAAACAAAGAATTTCAAAATGTTATATATGACAAAACTAGAAATGATGGTATGAGAAATGCTATATTGGAATTGAAGTGAAATCCATTAAAGATATGATGGTAAAAAAATAAAATTTGGTGATTTTGAAATCTAAAATAAAGAGAAGATGGACCAATAAACCAAATTAAAGAGAATTTGCATGGAATGATTAAGAAATAATCAATAAAAAACAAAAGTAACATGACTATTGTGCTATAAGATTCACAAAAAATAGAGTTAATTTATCATGCAATGCTTAATAAACGAAAGGAGAAGTTTGATTAATAAAGTCAACCCAAAATAGAAAGGATGCAGCTAATGATGATAATTATAATGATGAAATCATTAAAATAAATTAAAAATTATGTCCCAGAGTACATATTAACAACATAAATGCAAGCCCTAATTTAGTAGGGCATTAGTAACTAAAATAAATGCCAAAATTAATAGTAGGGAAAAAGAACTGTCATTTATATATAAATGCACATATTACAAGATAGAATATGTATCCACGATATACAACAAAAAAGGGTTTTCTATGATCATGGTAATTATAGAACAAAATCATGAATGCAAATGTTTCAATGAAAAAACTAAAATGTTGAAGAATAGAAAAGCTCTTCTAGAATGTAAAGGCTCCTTGCTTATGATACACTAACATGCTGTTATTTACCTCATTTCTGCATGAGGTCTCAGTCTCCTGTCATTGTCTCCTAGCATGTAGGTCTCTCTTTTTTTTTTTTGCCATCTATCTCTTGAAGGTTAGCATCTACGTCTCCCTACCTTAGTGTTGAAGACACATATAGGGTTCTCTCCAAATCGAATCATGTTGACCCTTTGTTGTCGATCGAGTCCAACATGAATTGATTTCAAATAGATTAGTATAATCAAACATTGTTGAATCAATTCGACTCGACTCGAGTCCAATTCAATGTGACAATTTCGATCAACACCGACTAACTCATCTCAGGTTAATTTGAATCAAATTGGCGTCGATTAAAATGAATCAACTCAATCCATAGTGAATTAAAATTTGACACTAATCGAACTTGATTCAATCAAATATATGAAATTGGATGATGTCGAGTCAATTCAACTTGATGTTCGATTCAACCTTGACACCATCATCGACCAATTAAATTGAATCGAGCGTAGCTCAAATTAATTAAAATCAATTTGATTTCAATCAAATAAGTTCAATTGAGGACATCGAGTTGATTCGATTTAACTCAAATACAATTTGAGCTTGATAGCTTCGATTGGCCTAATTTAGCCCGCCTCGACTACAAAAATCAAATAGAACTTAACCGACAAAAAATTGATTTGATCCAAACAAATTTGAACAAAATTAAATATTATCCAAACAAAATTTATTCAATTTTTTAACATTAAATCTTAAATTAACCTTTTAATGATCCTAACATTATGCGAAATGAATAGTAGCTATTGAATTTGATTAAAATAGAGAGGCAAGAGGGTCTTTTTTCCCCCTCAACAAGTTATTGTTGTGTTGGGCGGCTACATGCGCACTACTTACCCATGTAGTAGAAGAGGACTGTTTAGGAAGCATTTGATTGGGTGAATTAGGCGGCTATTTTATTTTGAATAGAAATAAGAGCAGAAATATGAGCTTCTTCTTTCTAGAGTTCTTCATCCCTTCGTCCCAGACACTTCACTGGCTTCCTCTCTTCCCTTGACGGGAAGCCTAATTCTCTCACAACTTTGCTACTCCTACATGTTGCACCCCTTTCACGAGTCGTATCCAGACCTCGTCAGCCCACGTGCGTGACCCATCTGCCATCCCAACATGCATCTTTGGACCTAAAGCCTCAGGCCCAACTTGCTTTCTCCCACGTTCTCGCACACGCACCCTGCCGTTCTGACCCTAACTGCTCTATTGCCTGTACATGTCTACCCCATAATAGCCTCACACGATTTGAACCTGCATGCCCCTGCGATACCAACCAAATGCTTGGATGAGTGTGCGAAAGCGAGTAGGCGCATGCTCACATGGGCGAGTTCGGTGGAGTTCACGCATGGTGCATATACGGGATAGAGCAGGGGTCTGATAGGGGCACACAAGCGTTTGGCTGGGATCTTGGGGGCACGCGAGTTCAAATCATTTGAGGCTATTACGGGATGTAAACCTGTAGGCGATAGAGTAGCCAGGGTCAAGTCAGTGGGGTTGCGTGTGCGAGAACGAGGGAGCAAACATGGTTAAGCTTGAGGCTTTGCATGCAAAGATGCACGCTGGGCTGGCAGACGGGTCACGCACGTGGGCTAACGGAGTTCGGACAGGGCTCATGAATGGGGGGCAGCATGTGAGAATGATGGAGTAGGAAAGTGGTGAGAGAATTGAGCTTCCTGTCAAGGGAAGAGAGGGAACCAATGGAGTGTTCGGGATGAAGGGATGAGGAACTCCAAAAAATAAGAAGTCCATCAATCTGCTTTTCTTTCTATTCAAATTAAAATAGCCGTCCGATTCACCCAATTAAATGCTGCCTAAATAACCCTTTTCTCCTGCTTGGGCAAGTGGCGCACATGCAATATACAACTGCCCAACATAGCCAATAAATTGTTGAGGGGAAGAAAGATCATCTTGCCCCTCTATTATAATTAAATCCAAGGGCTAATATTCATTTTGCAAGATTTTAAAAGCATTAAAGGGTTAATTTAAGATTTAACGTTAAAAAACTGAAAAAATTGAATTTGAATTATATTTCATTTTATTCAAATTGATCTATCAATTTTGTGACGGTTAAGTTCGATTTGATCTAGATCGAGTCGAGGTGGGCTCAATTTGGTCGATGAAGCTGTCGAGCTCAAATTGTGTTCGAGTCAAGTTTAATTGACTCAATGTCGCTCGATTGAACTTATTTAACTGAAATCGGATTGTTTTAATTAATTCAAGCTCTACTTGATTCAATTCAATGGGTCGACAATAGTATCGAAGTTGAATCGAACTCGAACCGAGTCGAATTGACTCGATGTCGTCCAATTTTATATATTTGATCGAATCAAATTCAATTAGTGTCAAATTTTAATTTAATTTAAATGGATTCAATATGGATTGAGTCGATTCATTCTAATCGACACCAATTTGATTCAAATTGACCCGAAAAGGGTTAGTTGATGTCAATCGAAACTGTCGCATTTGAATTGAACTTGAGTCAAGTCGAATTGATTCGACAAAGTTCGATTACACCAATCTATATGAAATCAATTTGGTTTCGACTCGATCAACACCAAAAGGTAGACAAGATTTGATTCGAAGAGAACCCTACATGTGTTTTTAACACTAAAGTAAGGAGACCTACATGCTAGGAGGCAATGATAGGAGACTGAGACCTCATAAAGAAATGAGGGCAACAGTTGTGCTACTAAGTTCCTCTGAGAGGTTAAAAATACATAAAAAATTAAAGCTCATTAACATATCGCTCGAGTCCTTAAGAATGAAAATTACGTAGTAATTCAATAAAAAAAGGATGAAGAATGGTAATACAATGATCAATAATATAATTCCAATATCTCATATGCTTCTTCATAAGCATGGCTTTACTTGTAGTTCCACCATTCTCAAACATGAGATAAGCATTTGAATGATTAGTTACTACTACAACCACAATATTAAAATTGCCATGATCACAATCATCGACCTCATCTCAAATATCTTGGATCTACCATATGAATTTACTGTATCAGGCTTATATAACAATTATAGTTTGAAACTACATTTCTTGAAAGACTGGTTCTTACAAATGCTACGTAGTTTTATATCCACTCTACATGCAAATCTATTCATCTAGCAGGGCCTATGTGATTCATTTATTCATATCAAGTATCAACATTCATATTATTTCTACTGCTTACAGTGCCTCAACCCTTTTAGTTCAAGATTAAGTTAAAATTAGGCTTTTATTTATTGCCTGTTCTAAATAAGTTTTTTTCAATTTGGAAGGTTGGAATGGCTAATCTTTTTTGGCTAAATTTTTCCGGAAGATAATCCACCATCTCCTCCTATTAATTATGGTGCCATTGTCTTGGGATTAACTTCAAATCTTCCCATGTCAAACAAATAAAACACTTATGCATATCAAGGGAAAATTTGAAAAACCTTCATTCAACTCTGCAATATTATGTGTTTATTTGGACTGCTAATCACCTTTTGACTCGATCTAAACTCGAAGCAACTAAACCTTACACTAAATTCCAATCCAGAAGCCAAAAAGCCACTAGCATGCCCATCTCCAACCCTTACTTACAGAGAGAAACTTCTAAGATCACTCCGACAAAATAACAATTCAAAAACCTGAATAATAGATACTTGAGCGGCGGTCAACGATCTCACACCAGAAAACATCCACGCGCTTTCCAGTGCCAAATCAAACAACTTTCCATGGGAACATCAAACAAGCTAACTCTATCAAAAGGAAAACGTATTCATGTTTCGTAACAATGAATTTCTCGGAAAGCTTCCAAATCGCATACCTGAAGCAGTCTTAAATTAACCTAGGAGCTCAGATCTCCAAGCAATGGCATTAAGTTCATTTCTTTAAGAGCGCATGATTTCGAGAAAAGGGAAAAGAGAAAACCTGAGAGAAACCAGATCGCGGCGACGACGACGACGGAGGAACCGAGATAGGGCAGAACGATGTCGATCTGGGATAAGGAAAGGGGCACATAACCCGGAAGTTGGAGGTCCCTGGGACTGTAGGGATGCTCGTAGCTCGCCATCTTTACTCAAACTCTTTTGGTCCTCTTCTTCCGGCCACCGAAAACCGGAGTGAAACCTATAGGAATGGAGAGCGCCCATTGCCATACTCATTTAATATGGGAAACGCTGGCTTTGGTTCAACTTCCCTTGTCATTTTAAACAATATTTAATTTTAAAAATATTTAAATTAAGGCATAGCTGGCGGCGTCGTGTCTTGCGTTCTTTTATTAAAATGATAGTGGTGGTTTTTTTATTTCAATATCTTCAAACAAAATTCACAAATGGCCTTTGCAAGAACAACTCTGATACCTCATCATAAATCAATTTCATCAACACAAACTTCGATCTACGCTTCAATTAAAACTTTTACAATTATATTTAGAACTTTTTAGACTTTGATTTCAACTTAGTAAAACTGATCAACTCGATGAGACACAAACTCAATCACTCTAGAAAAAGATTCAATTCGAATCCAAACAAATCCCAAGTCGAAGCATGACGCATAGTGATTTGAAATATAATTGAGGGAGCAAAGGATTTTCAAATTTGGCATGCTTATAGTTAAGTTGAACGTCTCGACAAGAGGAATCCAACGAGCTCTTAATTCTGACATTATTAAGGCTCTTAAATGCTGAAGATCAAAGAAATCGACACAGGCCGATGCAAAGATCCGACTTTTCTTAATATTTACAAGCATGATATTCAAAAAAGTTTATAAATAGGCTCGCTTTCTATATGAGGAGAACATTTTGGCTACATATTCAAAAGGCCCAAAGGCTTTAAAATCCCAAAGCTCCATTATAGTACCACCAACGTTGAATTACAGCTTGATCTCCATTGTTGAACTTTTGCCACCCGAACGGCACCATTTGACCTTCATCATCTGATTGTTGTCATCAAATCTTCACCGCCCGACCAGCATCGGTTGACCATCACCTTATTGTCGTCATCAAACAACCACGTAATCACAATCGAACCACCAACCAATAGTTGTCAGAGCAAGCAAAGTTATCATCTCACCTTTATAGTCTGCTTGTTATCATCAAACATTTGTCTCCTAACATCAGTCATCAAACAACCAACTGATTATCGTTATTGAACCACCACTTGACTGACATCCAACACCTGCTAGATGTTCACGATCGAACCTTTGTTACCTGATCCCCATCATTGGACAACCGCCAAATTGCTATCAAACCACTGCCTCATCGTAGTTGTCAAACCTTCGCTGCTTGGTTGTCATCATTGAATCTTCATCAGTCGATTGGACACATAGGTCCACACAATTACTACTGTCAAATCTTCACCATCAGATTGTCATCACCAGATTATGACCCAACCACAATTATTGGAACTTCTTAGCCACAACTATATGAATGTCTTTCACACACTATGTTGAATCTATCATATTTCTACCAGCTATATGAACATTTATAATACTAATGTCCCCTAGTTAAAAGATGGACAAATTTGTGCAATCAATACTCACATAATGGGTTACTTGGTTTATTAAAAAAGAAATGCAATATAAAATGATTTGTGATATATTTAAAATATTTGAAGTTATTTGGATGAGTGAAATAAATGCATGAGATTATCTTTGACAATAATAGTGGTGGACAGTCATGACAACTGGCGATGACCAATGGTAGGCGAAAATTGTGGGAAGCAGAGCACGGTCAGTCGACGACAACAAGTAAATAGCAGTCGGTGGTGTTAGGTGGTTGCATGGCTGTAGTGGTAGTTGGTGGTGGACAGTGGAGGGCGATGGGGGCAACTGATGGTTGTAGTAGATGGCATGTGGCAACCTATCTACTTGTGACAACCCATAATTTCTAAAAAGTAATTTTAACATACAAATCTGAATTTTTGTTTGAACTGATGCACAACAATGTTGTTCCTTTGAGCGCTGCGACGACAGAAATTACCATGGTTGTATTGACGCCTATGTTCTTTAATAATTTTGGATTCAGCATGCAACGCTGGATTGTAGTGTTATGGCACTATGCACTAAATTTTGTTAATGAGTTTATTGTATTAGCATTGTACAAAAATCCATCACACGGAGACAATATATTTAATGAGTTTATGCACTAAACTTTGCTAGTGTTTATCATCTATTATAAATAATATCCTTTCCCATAATTATGAAAGATGGCAATACAATATAGTAAATGCAAACTATAGATAATGAATTATGCGGTGTAAGTTAGAAGAGCCATATGGTATAGAAGCTATCTTCAAGAGTCATTTTTTGCTTATTTGGTTGTTGTCATTTGATGTAGGGGAATTAGAGACCCAAATATCCAGCATCTGATGTTGGGTGTTAAGAGTTGTATATATATGCCATACACCGATCTTATAAGTATTAGCATTTGTTGATTTTGTTGGAGGCGAATAGATACAGGTAGTGTGTTTACCATAGTCGAGTGATGCTATTTGGAGGATCATAGGCGGAAGATGGCGGACAAAGAACTATTGTTGGGCAACAAAGGATGGGGGATAGTAGTGGGCAACGAAGGATGGGGGATAGTAGTTGGGGGATAATGGTTGAAGAATTATAGCCAGATAATAGTGATTGGGAGAACGCATTCAGACAATGATGGTCAGAAACACGTGATCGATCGATGTAGGTTAGAGGATCTTATATGGGAAATGATGTTTGGAAGAACCATAGTAAGAGGATGAAGGTTGAAGGATCATAGTAGAGCAACTCACCATTATCTTTACCGAACTGAGAATTGTGAAGTGGAAGATATTTACAGTCATGCTCGAGAATCAGTAAAAAGTGTAAGCAATGAATCCTTGGTTTCTACAAAATAACAACAAAAACAACCAAGTGAAAATTATTGTTTAACATTTCAAAAGAATATCTGCAAAGCAAGAAACTTATAAACACTAAATGTGGTCTACAAATTACACCTATGATATGAAAAAAATAATCTTCAAATCTATACAATCATGATACAAAAAGATAAGTGAAAATTAAAGCGATAAACAGAATTTCCAGACACTACAGAGGTAAAATTATGAGAGCAAAGACACTCTCTCTTGTCTTTCTCTATCATCATCACCACCACCATCTTCAACCAATATTGGCTCGCTCCAACCAGCAGTTCTTGAAGGGTAGAATTTTGCACGATCAAAGATGGTCGCCCTAAAGCCCGTTGCTCTTGAAGACACCATAGGCATTACAAGCACTGAAGATGCATTAATGGATTCTTCACTTAGACCCACTGATGAAGAGCAAATAGCCTGCAGAAGGATAAAAACTGTGTAAACTGAAACAATCAATCTTGGTAATAAAGATAGTTCCATTTCAAAGGAAAAGACACCTTAGCTTTTGCAAAGACAGTTCTTGCATTCTCCAGAACTCCATTTGTAAATGATTTCCGAAAATTTATTCCAGTCTCCTGTGTCAACGTGGATGCGCTGCTGCTGAGACAGTTAGTATGTGTTACGAAGAGCAGGCTAATTTAGGCTTTGTTTGGGAGGGCTTTCTTATTCAAAAATTAAAACTTTTGAATTAAAAAGTTGTTTTAAGAAACAGTAAGAAAGTCGTCCCAAACGAAACCTTAAAGGCTATGAAGGACCAAAATTTTGTTTTAAAAGGTAAAGTGCAACATTGTGGTATGTCTGGAATCTGCAACATCTAATATGCAGTAAAACAAAGAAACAAGGAGAAGAGCAATCACCAGTTTACATCGGCTGCAAGGCTTTGATCTGAGGAAGAAGTTAAAGAATAAGAATCCATCGTTTCACCACCTGAAAGAAGTTATGAGAATTAAACGGTACAGAAGCGTAGGAATAAGAAAGAAAGATCCTTGATGGCGCTACCTTTAGAGTCATCAGGTGCCAGCAAGGTAATGCCTATGAATACAAATGACATGCCGATTATGAACATTGTTATCCGTAATGTATCAAAAACCTGCATGTAAGCAAGTTATTTAATTTTGTGCAATAAGTTTAATAGAGGGTCTGCACCATTGATGTATGTTTCTTCACATAAGTGCACATTCCTTGGCATGATTTCATGCTTTTTTGCTTCTATAGCACATAAATGTGTGCGCCTGTGAATGCATAATTGATAATTCTCAGGTGAATTTGAGCAGGCTTACTTGATATTCTTGAAAATATATAAATCCTGTACAGATAGAGAAGAAAGTCCATGCAATCTGAAACATGGGGACAATAAGGATTGCATCGAAGAGTGACAATCCTTCATTTAATCTCGCCATCTGCAATAAAAGGGGGATCACATTATATAATTCAGGAAAAAAATGACCAGATTGTTGCAGTATTTGCTCTGGCATTATTAAATTAAAGTACCCAAAACCCAGCCGTGCTGAAGAACAACAAAAGCAGCGAGTATGTAAACCAGCTATGTAGATGATAATTGCTGCTCATGGTCAACCTCAGCATGTTAGATCTGTAAAATAACAAAAGAACCAGTCAAAAGGACTCCAGGAAAAAAACTTAAAAGATTGGATGTGAGAACCAAAAAGATCAGGTATTTATCTAAATATCAACTAATTTATTTTTGTGTTTAAATAAATAGATTTATGTTATAGATAATTATTAGAATAATTTAAATCAAAACAATAATAATTCTGAAAGAATGTATTCCTTGGAGAATTTTGATGAGCAGTTAGAATGTGGGACCCACTTCCCATTGATCTCATCTACTTAACCGCGTATATTCCATAGATATAGCAAGTGAAGGTTTCGGTGCAGAGAAAATTTCCTTAGGGTGTTCGGCAATAGATACAGAATTTACTATTCACCTATTCAGAGGTTGTAGGCGGAGAAGGAAAATCCTGTAGCAGTGTTCGTTATACTGTCTGCTTGCGGGAATACCATTTGTTTCGGTATAATAGAGGCAGGCAAGTGTCACTGGGCACTAAGGAATTCACATAAGTCCTGTTACTGGGAGAATTCGGCCTATGTGCAGAAATTCTATAGGGAATTCGGTAGTGCAAGGAAGCCAAACCCATATCAGTTCAGTGCAGAAATTTCTGAGAGATCACTTCAGGTATGGGAAGTATTTTTGATAGTAAATGTATTTAATAAATAACATTCAGGATTTAGAATGATGAATCTAATTGGAATTGTAATTATAGTTGTGGTAGAAGCAATAAAGGAAGAGAGAAGAAAGAAGAAATTTAAAAAGAGGAAATCAAGGAAAGTTCTTTTGGTATGTGCTTAGGGTAGATATCCAATTGGCAGTGGAAGTTCTTAAAGATGTTATAACTTATGGTGTCATAGATAAGTTTGATCATATGCAAAAAGAAAGCTTTGAAGCGACTTATAATAGTAGAAGAGTTTGTAGTAGGGAATTGGAAAAGATGACTCGGCAAGAAGGTAAGTATTGCCAAATTAATGTTTAAAGAAAGTTATGTGTTATGATGAATTTATTTTCTTTAAAATGTTTTCTCCAAGCTTTTGAATATGATCTAATACTTATACCTTTTGCTATCATATAAGTTCACGTAAGGTTTGGTCACATCATTTAAATTAGGGCTGCAAGCGAACCAAACGTTCGACGAGCTACTCGTTGTTCGGTTCGACTAAAGCTCGTTCGTGATCGTTTAATTAACTAAACAAACAAACATGAACAATATTTTAAATACTCGATTCTTAAATAAACAAACTTGAACACTAATGCGTTCGACTCATTTATGTTCGCGAACAACATCATTTGAAGTTCACGAACAAGCTCGACATTAAGCTCGATAAAAGCACGATTCGTATTCAATTTTGAACTCGTGAATAAGCTCGATAAAAATAATTAATATTTGACTATAGATTAATAAATATATATAGACATTGCCTTTGTTACATAGACAATTGATTTTATTATAAATGTGTTTGTTCAAAGATATGTTCATGAACGTGTTTGTTTGATAGTTAAAAAAAATTCGTTAAATATGTTTGCGAACAAGCTCGATAAGCATTAAACGAACGAACATGAACTGAACATGAACCAAACATGAACACTCATTAATTTAAATGAACCAAACACGAACACAAACAATAAAGCTCGACAAACATGAACCAAACTTGAACAAGATAATATTAAATGAACACAAACATGAACACTCACATACTCGGCTCGGCTCGGATCGGCTCGGTTCGTTTGCAGCCCTAATTTAAATGGTTCTATGTAAGAATGTTTGGAAGAAAGTAAAGTTTCTTGAAAATTTATGCATATTACTTATACACAAGATATGTCATGAATGATAATGAAAACTGATATGATATGAATTATGAAAGAATGTTGAATACTAAATTAATGTAAAATTTGACTATGAATAATGTATGTCTTATCATTCTAGTTGGGACAAAAGGGTTCTCATATCAGAACTACATGATAAGTGAGGCAAAAGGGACCCCATAGAATTATGAAACCTGCATAGCAGGTGGGGCAAAAGGGACCCCAAAAGAGGCAAAAGGAACCTCTATGTAATTCAATGACGATAATGCCAGGTTTACCTAGGCTCCATTGAATAATATTATGAAAATATAGTCAAATTGATGTGGACATCGATCAGAGGTTCAAGCATGTGTATCACCGGAGCCAGCGCAGATCGACGGCTACAATTCAGAGCCTTTACTTTTGATGTATTTCATGTGTTATTTAGTTTGCATTTCCATTTCCTAGTTTACCCTTATGAGGAGTGTTGTCTTATTGTAGCCCGAAGGGCATTTGAGTATTTTTCATTTCTTTATGTTGAAAGACCTATATATAGTGGTCTCATGCTTTGTAAAAGGTTAATGAATATTGGAATGAAAATGGTTTTGTTTCTACTTCTTCTTATTGCATGAGAGCTTGAGAAGAGAGAGAGCTCAAGGGGAGCAATTCGCAAGGCCTACCAGTCATTGGAAGAGTCCGC